GGTGTACCCCAGGGTTCCGTACTAGGCCCTCTACTATGGAACCTGGGGTACAACTGGGTCCTGCGCGGTGAGCTCTTGCCGCGGATGGATGTCGTCTGCTTTGCGGACGACACCCTGGTCGCGGCGAAAGCGAAGGAGTGGGAGGGGGCGGTCCGCCTTGTGTCGGTCGGCACCTCCATGGTCGTCCGACGCATCCGCCTCCTGGGGCTCGAAGTAGCCTTCGAGAAGACTAGGGCCATGGTGTTTCACGGCGCCAGACGCAGGACCCCATTGGGGCTCCGTGTACGGGTAGGTTCCCGTCGAGATGCACTTTAAGTATCTCGTCGTAACGTCTTATAGTACAGATAAAGGAAAAATTGCGAAAACCGTAAATTTTTGGTTACATCATATAATAAAAAATATTTTTGAAAATTCAGGTGTGTACGGAACCCTTCGTGCGCGAGTTCGACTCGCACTTGGCCGGTTTTTTTATTAGTGTAGTGAGTGACCCCCTCCTAAATTTCAGGCTGCGACCGCGCCTGGGCGATCCGTCCGGTGTTGGAGTGGGTAGGGCGCCAGCGGGGCAGCCTCACCTACCGCCTGGTGCAGGTACTGACCGCACTGGGTGCAGGTACTGGGTGCTTCGGTCACTGCCTGCACCGTGTCGCCCGTCGTGAGGAGTCGCTCTCCCGACGACACGGCCGAGCACACGCTAATCGTATGCCCGGCCTGGCGAAACGAGCGCCGCACTCTGATTGCGGCGCTCGGCGGTGGAGACCTCTCGTTGCCAAGCATGGTTAGAGCCATGCTTGGTAGCGAGCGGGCCTGGAAGGCAGCCGCCTCCTTCTGCGAATCGGTGATGACGCGGAAGGAGGCCGCCGAGAGGGAGCGGGAAGAGGACGCTCTAGCCACTCCCATCCGACGTAGACGGGTGGGCCGAAGAAGGCAGGCCAGGGTTCCCAACTTAAGGGTTTTGCCCCCAGATTTAGGGGCTAGAAGGGTTAAAAGCGGACTTTTTTAGGGGCCGGAATTTTTTGGGGGTTCTTTTAGGGACTTTTAACAAAACCGAAAAACAAAGCGTGTGTTTTCTTTCAGTTTTGTGCGTAGAATGGAACGCACCACGATATGAAACGACTGAACTCACTGTGTGGCAGGATGTTTCCTAAGGCTGTATGGACTAAAGTTCTTTGCCTTCCACCAATCAGAACAGCTGAATCAGATTCAACAGCCTGTCAGCTCATTTTCGTTTAATTTTCCATTCGGAAAATGTATTTATTCAATAAAATAATTTACTATAACTAAATATGTAACGTTTAATTTATGAGCAACGAAAGAATTTAGGTAATAAGTTAAGTAGGTACATATAAATTTCTATATTTAGGGGATTTTAGGGGAATTTAAAAAATACTTAGGGTAAATTTTTGGTAAGGGTTGGTAACACTGAGGCAGGCAGCCGTGACTGCCGGTCTTCGTCGTGTGCCCTTGGTGCCATTCGGCATAGGCCACCCCGTCTGGGGATTGCCTAGTACCCTAGCGCAATCCCCCAGAGGCGTGTCAGGCCGGGGCCGGCCCGGTCCACTCGTTGGACCGGACCGGCCCGGGGGCGTTCCAGTGAGGTGGCGCACACAGAGGTGAGCCGATCCTGAAACGCTCCCACATGAGCGTAGGAGGGTACCGGTGGGTTTTAGTGGGTAGGACCGGCGTTGTTCCGCGCCGCCGCGCCGGCGAGACCCACACACGCAGCGCGCGCTAGCTGGGCGCGGTACGGTCCGCAAAAATGGACTTCCCATCGACAAAATAAAAAAAAAGGGCTACTGTTCGTATATAAAGAGTTTCGTTGTTTATCTCCGAAAGTAATTAACAGATTTTTACCAAATTAATATGGGAAAATTTTGCTAACAAACACTTCCAAACAAAAAAAGAATCATTAATGACAAATTAAAAACCTCCTCCATTTGGAAGTCGGTAAAAAAATATTCAAATGCAAACAGTACAAAAGGTCATCAAATTAAAGATATTGATGCATACACTCTAAAACTATACATAAATCTATATAAATCCTTAGTCCTTATAATTAGTAAGTTAATAATGAAAAGATCGAAGACTTCTTTAGTTAAAGGGCCAACACACATTGACACACATTATATTTTTTCGCTTCTACATTATTCTTGGGTATCGGGTTTTTTAAACGATATCGTTTCAGTTTCAGACATAGTTCCTCAGCAATTACGATTCAGAACTATATGTCTATAATAGTCAAAAAGTATTTTTAGGCCAGCCGCATGTTATAAGATTTTTTTTGATGTATCTGGTCGTTTTCTGATCTAGATCATACAGTACATATTATCCCTGACTTATAATTCAGCTGGGTTAATTTGCATGTGTCACCCATTCTTAAATTGACTTTCAGACACACGTTAGTTCTTAAAGAACCACATGGAAAATAAACTTGAATGGATATAATAGTGCAAAAATAGACATTAAGGGGTCTTTGCAGTGGATTTAAGTGGATCGAGGGACATGATTTATTGTTTTAGATTTATGTGATTGTTTTATTTTTCCTATTCTCTTAAAACTTGAGTAAGGACAGTACACTCAAGGATTTCAACTACCTACGCCGATGGTCAGTTGCAAATTTAACACAAAGTCGCCGAAGCGTTTTTTTTAGGAGTGACGGTATTTTTAATCAGAAAAAACTTATAATATGCGGCCGGCATAAAAATACTTTTCTTGACATTAGACATAAGGGCGACCATAAAATTTATGAAAATAGGATTTTTATCAATCCAACATTAAACTAAGTACCCACGTGCAGTCTCTTTTATCTTTATTTCCTGGATAGCTATCCAGGAAATAAAGATAAAAGAGACTGCACGTGTAGCTACACAATAAAGGTTTACAGGGATTTAGGAAGCAAATGGGAGGTAATTCTTTGCATATAAAAATTTCTGTAAGTGCACTCGGTACGTATTCTACGGATGGGTTAGCCATCTTGACGTTAGAACCACAGGTCACTATAAATGTTTTGATTATTCTTTAAAGCAAATCACTCATGATAGGAAGCAAATAAAACCAAATGGAAAGCAATTCTTAGCCATCGTTTCAAGTGATTTCAATAAAATAAAATTAGTGACCTACTATCCTGACGGTCACCTTCAACTGGATCATATTCTAATCAAACCAATGGGAAAATTCATTAAGTACATTTTCAGTACTTACTAAGAAATATTGTAATATTTCTTAGTTTCATCAATTGCGTATATTGCCCGCATTGCTTGGGCATAGGCATTTCTCTATGATGGAATAGTGACAATTGGCGATGTTCCACCACTCGGGCCCATTGAAGATTGGTGCGTTCGAAAGACTAGATGGAACCGGTAATAGTAACTGCTTAACAGGCTTAACATGCACACAACGAGCAAGGATTATGAGTACCTTATTGGACATTTTTGGAACGCGCCAACCATTGCACCATGGTGGCAAATACCCTATATAATCGTTTAATATAAACATTTATAACCATACTTTATTTGTATTTTAAAACTCAGAGTTCACATTATTTTAAGACATAAAGGGCATGCCAAGCCTGCACTTTTCCTACCTAGTTTATCAACATCCTCGAGGATTAGGGATTGCTCAATTTGCTCATGGTTGTCAGATGTGGGACTAAACAACAGCAGGCTGAATATATACAGGGTTACAGGGAAAGTCGTACTGAATATTGAAGGACGTTATTATTCAGGTCATTTCTGATGGATTTGGTCCTATAATATGGTGTCCAAAACTTAACCGTTATGGCGATATTGGATATTAAAGATTTTTTAAAAAATCCTATATTTTTTGGGTTACTGTCGATTTTTTTGAAATTAGAGCTCCAAAGGTCCGATTTTTTAATGAATCTAGTTAGAAGACATGTCAAGCAATAAAAATAATGAATAAAAACTGAACTTAAAAGCAATCGTTAGCTGAAAGTAAGCAATCGCAAGCTGAATCGTTGAACTTAAGCAACTTTCGCAGTGGTCGGTCATTGGATGGGTGACCAAAAATTACTATCTCGAGCTCCTCCGTGCTTCGGAAGGCACGTTAAGCCGTTGGTCCCGGCCGCATCTGCAGTCGTTAGCACCCATCAATCCGCACTGGGCCCGCGCGGTGGGTCATGGCCCAATCTCCCTATTCCATCTATAGGGAAGGCCTGTGCTTCAGCAGTGGGGACATTAATAGGCTGGTAATGATGATGATGATGCTTTTCTGGTTTTATTTACGTATTTTTGCTATTTTTACCTCAAACTAAAAATGTACCCTCTGCTACCATAACTGTTATTTGGTCAATGTTTTGCTAATTTAATAGCAAGTGTTATACCTTTTTGAATAGCTAAAGAGACGTAGAAGTTTTTAAAATTATTTGCAGAATATGTTCCATACATTTTTTTTTAGTAAAGTGCTTCAAAGTTAAGAACACTTGGTGAAAATTCTTTAGTTATAAACGTTGTCGAGCAGTTTTTTTAAGCCGTTAGAAGTAGGTTCAGTTTTTATTCCTTGACATGTCTTCTAACTAGATACATTAAAAAATCGGACCTTTGGAGCTCTAGTTTCAAAAAAATCGACAAAAACCCAAAAAATATAGGATTCTTTAAAAAAATCTTTAATATCCAATATCTCCATAACGGTTAAGTTTCGGACACCATATTATAGGATCAAATCCATCAGAAATGACCTGAATAATAAAGTTCTTTAATATTCAGTACGACTTTCCCTGTAACCCTGTATATAGGTGACGCTTGAAGGTATCGATCATTATTTATATACCCATGCCAAAGTGATTAGAGTGATTACCTAGGTATATCACCAAACTTTTGAGTTAATGTTAATTCGATATAGGTATTATATCGACTCGACAGTAGTGCAATTTGTCAGTGTCGGAATGTAACTAGTCAGTGTCGCTAACGTGTTTACAGTGTCAAGTGAATAAGTGGTGCGCACGCAATTTGGACGTGGGTAGGGCGGGCGGGCGGCGGCGCAGGGCCGAGGGCCGCGGGTAGAGAGTAGAGCACGATCAATAGGCGGTTTGCTGACGTCAGTGGACGGACGAGCGCCATTGGCCCGTGCGGCATTATTAAATAAACCTCCGGGCGGAGTGGCGCGCACAGCACCGCAGCACGCGGCGGGCCCGCGCACCGCTCGCGGTTCGCCGCGCCCGCCATGGCCGACATGCCGGACCTATCGCACCTCACGCCGGAGGAACGCGCCATCATCGAGGGCGTCATGATGCGCCAGCGACAAGAGGAACAGCGCGAGCACGAAATCATGAGGTGTGACCCGCGCCCACGCCCCGACACCGTCACCCCCTACCACCCTAATTATCTTATCCATCTGTTTTTACCATTTTTCAAAACGCAAATCATTATAATATTGTGAGAGTGTTGTGTCTCGTATTAACATTTCGAATATGCTAGTTTTTTATAAAACATACGTCGGTCGGACGCCTTGGAAAATATGGCCGCTCGCTTATCCGTCAGTTGGCGTTAGCCCTATGCGGAGTTTGTGCTTCAATATGTATACGTTTATATATTGTGTATATATGGCAGATCTATGTAAATTCAGTCTCCAGTCGATGTGAACTATACTTTCTATCATATTTTAATGATTTCTGCTCAAGACATGGCTTTGCACGTCTGATGCGGAATACTGCAGATATTAATACAGTCATTTGAATTTAATACAATACGCAATTGGTACCTCCTGTGGTTTTTATAAAATACTAACTAACTGTAGGTATATGACGCATTACTATATTGCATAGTATTAATAATTAAATTATCAACCCTTTGTGTCTGTGCCTGTGTGCTGACTAATAGTAATTATTCTAGAAGTGATATAGCGTTTCACAGAAGAGGTGTTATATTGGACTGGTAGCAGACAAGTCCATCGTAATTTAAAGGGGTGAGTTCCCACCTAATTTAGAATTTGATTTCACATCGCATTATGGTGATCACAAAATGTTGAATTTCAAACAATTCCCTAATTATATCCATAAATTGATGATTTACGTAAGTTTTAATTTAATTCCATTTATAGAAGACTATTCGGGCCTTACCGTTTTTCTTTCCTCTTTTTGAAGAGCGTGGAAATATCGAAAACCGTGCAAATTCATTTATATCGATTTTAATACATAATTCGTCATAAATATAAAATTAGATTTTGTACACCATCATCACCAATAATATATATATATATATATATATATATATGTATATATATATAGTATATACGGCGGGTTTGAACCATTGTTGTTACGACAAAAGCAGATATTGGTTAAAATTTTCTTGAAACGGCCTTCGTGAGCCTGACACACAACTGTTCCGGAATCGCTATTCTGTCTTGTATCTTTTTTTAGCTTCGTCATGTGAAGACCTTAATGGGCTCAGTAGCTTAATCGCTAAGGTGTAACGTAATGTAACATACGACAAATGTAACTTTGTCGTTGCTGTAAGCGATAAAATAATAATACAATACAAAAATGGGTACTAAAAGTGATATTACTGATGTGCTCGACTTATCAGTATCGAGCTTCCATAGATGTGAAGCAAACAGCTGTAAAAAATTTATTCCTGATAGTTCCGACAGTATCAGAATCCTCACCCAAAACATACGTAGCATTTCTGCAAACATAAGTAGCTTTTAATCTTTCTATGTGGTATCGAAGTGCGTCAATACATCATTGTTCTTACAGAATTTTGGCTTTCTTGTAACTCCAACATACTTATTATAGGGTTTTTATTATTATTAGGGTTATTACCATCATTCAACTCAAAAAAGATAAATCAGAATGATGGAGTAACTGTACATTATGTTATTTATTTTAAAGCATTTAACTGTTAGATGTTTAAATCTAAAGAAAATTTTACTAGAAAAATTTCTACGCGGACCAGGCAGCAGACGGGACTAACTAATAACTGTATATGTCAGCAAATCCAAGTGATACAGCAGTTAGTGAAACAGTTTTTATAAATGCAAATTTACTGCTTTTAAAATTGGGAAATGATACATGTATTTTGACAATATATAGACCTCCATCTTTTAACGATATCTCAAGCTTTCTTTCTTCCGTTGATCGGGTATTATCAGACAATTCACAGTTTTCAAATATCGTTTTAATAGGAGATATTAATATAGATATATCAAATAGTGATGAGTGATGACAATAGGTGTGATGAGTACTTAATTTTTTATTGCCAGCCATGGTCTTTTACCGGCTCACACAAAGGCAGCTCATGGTAAAATAGCTCTAGATCACGTAATATTTATAAAAGTAAGCTTTAAGCTACCACTATAGTATTGGATTCCAAAGTTATTGACAACAAACTGTCATTGTTGCTCTTGAAAAAACAAACATTATCTACGTAATAAACAGAAGAACTAAAGTTGATCACATAAAATTTAATAAAGAAATCGGCTTTTCCTATATTTACACTTGTAAAGATGCCAATGATGCAGTTAATGACCTTGCCAATTACCTCACCAAAACTATACATAACAGTGCCATGTTTACACGGTGCCGCATCGCTTACAAATCCTTAAGCCTTGGATTACCCCGGGTATTCTTCGATTAGAAATAGGGATAGAATGTATAAAAACGTAGTATGACATCCCATAAATAAAATACTTAAGACTACATATAATAGATACAGAAAATTTGCAGTAACATGATTAAATAACTAAAAAAAAAACAATATGAATCCCTAAAATTGTATACTGCGTAATCCAATCCAAGAAAACTGTGGAATGTAATTAGACAGGTTATACATACGCCAAAAAGTAACATTTCTTCTAGAGAGTTGTTGAAACTTAGTACAAACCCCAAAGATTCTGTCAATAAAATTAATAGGTTTTTTGTTGGTATTAGAAAAAATCTCTTTCCCAAAATTCACTATGGTTAATAAAGAATATTAATCACAACATAGTGGCCATTGTGCTTCTTTTGTACTTCTTGAAGCTGACGAAACAGAAATTAAAGGTATAATAAATTCTTTGCGGACTAATTGTGTGGTTGGTATCGATGGAATTTCCTCGGTTCTCGTCCCTCCCTTAACTTACATTATCAATTTATGCATGAAAAATAGAGAGTTCCCTGTTATACTTAAAAAAGGACTGATACCTAATCTCAATACACAAATCCGGTGAAAGAAACAACGTTAATAATTATTATCGGTGATGAATAACCGTCTTAAAAATATCGAGGACTAATATAATATTGAGGATAATAAATTAATATCAGACAGACAATTTAGTTTTGGAAATAATAAATTCACCAACGATGCGGTACATGAACTAACTAGGTTGTGAATTCATTGGACACAGGCAAAAAGTGTGTAGGGGTATTTCTAGATTTGGCTAAGTCCTTCGATACGGTGTCCATCCCAAATCTTCTTAATAAATTGGAGAAACTGGCAATCAGACGCAACCAGTATAAGTTGTTCCAAAACTACCTCAACGACCGCACGCACGCCGTAAAGATTAATGAATATATAAGTGCGGTACTTCCTGTAGAATATGGTGTACCTTAGGGAAGCATACTAGGGCCCACCCTCTTTTAATATTTCTAAATTAAAACTTGAACTGACCAATGGTAAACTAATTGCTTTCGCAGACGGTACAGCATTAATTTTTGCTTCAGAACTTAGGAACAAACTTATAATGCTGCTCAAAAAGGTTTTGATAGTGTAACAAATTTGCTCTCTGATAACACCTTCATTAAATATTGATAAAACCAAGTACCTACAGTTTAACATCAAACCAATTAACCATCTGGACCCAGAACAATGCCATATACGGGCACATAACCACAGGGAAACAAAACGTCTTTCTGATTGCCCAGTACTGGGTAGCACACCAATAATCAAATATTTGGGCGTGATTCTGGATGAAAGACTATCATTTATTCCACATATTGAGTTACTGGCTAAAAGAATCCGCAAACTTATTTCTATTTTTAAGCATTTAAAACATGTTGCTGAACATCAACAAAATATTAATAAATAAATAAATAAAAAAATAAAAATCATTTATTTCAAGACATTGGTCTCATATAATTATGTTAGTAACAATTTTTCTTAACCTATGTTAGTATTTTATTACAATTTCTATCATCATTATAACATATCCATATAAACATAATTAAATCATAACATCCTATAGAAATAATTAGAATAAATAAATAAATAATTCCAGAATTAAAATAATTAAAAATTAATTAATTTTTACTGCACCCTCCCCTCGGCCCGGTCACCAAACATGTAGTTTGATGAACTGACCGAGCAGAGGGGAGTCCATTCTATTTGCTAACATTATAAAGACCATATACTATTACCTATGCCAGTCCTTATTGGGATATTGCATATTGTCCTGAGGTGGTGCATGTAAAACCCACCTATTAAGACTTAAACGATCACAAAGAGCCGTATTAAAAGTGTGTACCTTTAAGCCTTACCGCTTTACTACGAAGGATCTTCATGAGTATTGTAAAGTTCTGACAGTAAGACAATTGTTTATCTTGCAAATCATTCTTAAGCAGCACTACGATGTAAATCTCAACAGTCTTGTCAAAAGTTACAAATCTAGACGGAAACTTATAATTCCACTTACTAAAATATTTAGAACTATTTTTGGTCGTAAATTTTATTACTTTATGGGATGCTTCTTATTCAATAGTAAATTGAACATACTACGCAAAAGTAAACATGCATCTAAAATAATGGTTACAGATTAGCTCTTAAAATTAAATTATAAAGGAACAGAGGAACTTCTTCAATCGGTTCATAAATGACTCATAAATTACTTCAACTCAAAAATTTAAAATCAACATTTTGAGTTAAAATCAATAATCAATATGATATGAAATTAGAAAGAGGCTGGTACTTATAGCACAGAGTATCATTTTTTAAGTACCAGCAGCTATAATATTATGTTATAACTGTGTCATACCTATGTGATAGTATAGTAAGCAATGCAATCATTATCTTTTGTGAAAAAAAAAACTATTATAAAAAAAATACAACAAGTCAATAATGTTCACTAGACGTTAGTTAGATGATGTGTGTTTAACTTTTTTATGTTAAAAGGGTGGCAAACAAGCGTATGTCCCGTCCCGCCTGATGGCAAGTCTCCACCAAAGCTTAGACATTTGCGATTGGTACCAAAATATCACTCGCACCCTACCTTGATCCAATCCTCTATGCTATCTCTACCTCTATCCCCATGGAGTCCAGAAACCTTACTCACCGACACAAACACAATAGCACCAAAAGGTCCTTTCCTAAAATCAGTCAGATTTTAAATGAACTGTTGATTTATCTGAATTTTAAAAGACTTATTTAAATAGGTTTTGAGATAGGGTGTTCTGAGGAGTTATTCTCCCTTATCCCTCCATCACCTTTTCTTCAGAGGACCACGCGCGCTGGCCTACGTTGCCACCGACTTACTGTGGCCACTATTCCTACACGAAAAAAGAAATTTGGTGACTCATTTCTTTGTCGTACTATTCGTAAGTGGAATTCTTTAACCGCGCAAGTGTTCCCTCCTTCCTATAATCTGGGGTCCTTTAGGAGAGGCGTGATGAAGCATTTTTGCAGGCCGACAAGGTGAGGATGATTGATGTAGCAGTTTATAACTGCTGTACCAGCTATCTTCGCGTTTGGACTTTATTACCACAAACATCAGGTGGGGTAGAGTCATTTGCCTACCTTAATATATAAAAAAAGGGTATCTCAAAATTTATAATTGTCTTTTAAAATTCACAGAAATTAACAGTTCATTTAAAAACTGGCTAAAAACTTATTCATCTGTGAATAACAAATTCTACGACCTTGTGAATAACTTAAGAATTTAAACAATAATAGGAGTATAAATATTTATATTTACACAATCCCGTTATTTAAATTTGCGGCACGCAGAGGCATTGCATGCAGGCGGGAGAGAATTTGACACCGATGCTCTTACTTCGGTCGAAATCCTCAATTAATTTACTCTCCTCATATTTTTATTCTCAGCATATTTCCACTGTAAGCCGTCGTGTCAGAATAAAAAGTAAAATCAAATAGAATGAAAAACATTCTATTTGTTGAACATTTCCTTTGACAATTTAAAGTACTAAGATTGGCATTGTACCTGTGCATTGTACTGAGAATGCTGAAAGACTTCAGAATTCAGGATTTCACATCCATCATTACATTTATAGGATTGCAAGTTATTGCAGATAGCACACAAAGCAGACGGATATTTAAGAAATTTAGATGAAGTTTAGCTGTCTCTAGATAAGATGATGTCTAATACATACTTAATTATTGTAATCAATGTTTTGTGACACTTTAAATGAAAACTTCAGCAACTGAGCGACAAAACGAACTGAGCGAGCGAACGTACCCAACTATGTTGATTACTATTTTCCAGTTTTATTTCATGGCATGAGTTACACTGTAATGTAACCAACTGTACGTAATCTACTATCATTATTGGGGGGCATTGTTCAATAAAAATAGCCACACTAGGAGCAAAACAAAGGTTCTCTTCGCTGGCTTCGACCTGCGATGTGATCTTAGAATAATAAAGGATGCGATCAATCCCAAAGTGCCTAAAGCTTTGGTTGCAAAAGGAAATCATGATAAGATGTAGGCTTCGACATGAACGAAACGAAGGTTCGTTTCTCTTTGCTCTCCGTGGCCCGCGCTTTAGGTGGTACAGCATCTATTTTTCTTTAACAGATATTGTACCACCACCACGCCACCTAGTTAAAGTAGCACAAACACTACACGCGGAATACGGGACTGCAAATAAATCGGACCACTCGCAACTTTGGAACTCTTTGCAAATGGTCAACATTGTGTTTCTTGCCTGATTTCAAAGTTAGTGGTCAGCATTTTAGATTTTTTTTATCATCATTATAGCCAGCGCAGACGGGGAACTTTTGTCCGCCGAAAAAGATCGCTTAGGTACAACTGCATCAAGAGAAACGTTTTTTAGTGTGTCTGCTGTTTGCCGCAGATGACCTTTACAGTGTCACAGGATTTGGGGACGGCGAGATTCTAAGGGGATCTCAAGCCGACAATTGGCGAGTGCCTCCAGAGGTATTCCAGGCAGATGGCATCTCCCCACCGGGGAGTTTCCTCTCCGTCTCGAGCCTCTAGACCACTCGAACCTGAGGGGGTCGGCTCAACTAGAGGGCGTAACTGAGACTCGGACCTCGGCTGTAGTTAGCCATTGTCGTGGGGGGCCCTAAAGAAACGTACACGACGAATTACAAGTACTGCGTACAAAAAGTCGTACAATTGAGGACCCTGAGAGTCCGGACAGGAGATAAGTACGCAGGAGTTCCCAAAAAAATATAATTAATTCATGTAACTAGGCGCAGCAACGCACACAGCGAACTTTAGTCCGCGTTGCGCACTCAATCCGATTATTCTCTTTTTCTTAAAGTTCATGGTAACAACACAACGTAATCTTGGGAGTACCTATTCACTTCCACAGCGTGCTCTTTTCTAAATTTTCGGGAGTGAAATGTTCGCGCATCGTGTGCGTTGAGCCCGTGACAAGTCCTCGGCAGACATTTTCTTCACGATTCGGGACTCTTGTCCTCCGCGGACAAAATTTCTTCGTCTACGCAGGCCATAAAACGCACTTTCTGTAAATACAGCTTTGGTAGTTGAGTATAGCTTAGTTAATCGAATCAGTGTTTGAAGGAACTAGTGGGTAGCCCGGTTTATTTAAGTAGGTAGGTACTTACTCATCCTTATAAAGAAAATCTCCTTTGGTATAAGATAAAAGTAATTCCAATATCATGCTTTAATTACCTTTATGATTTTAATTTAGACAATCAGTTTTGGCAACTTGTTCCAGAACCAGATATGGTTCAGTATGGTAGAATTTAGTACAGTCTCATTCGTAACAGCATCTGTTACTTGACCAAAACACTCCTTTCTGACCGTTACAGCGTGCAGGGTGTTACTGTAGTATAGGTGTGACTGAAATCTTTTAATATGTATCCAGTGTATGACCATTGTGCGTAAACGAAATATAGATCGAAATCCTCAAATTTTATAACAGGCGAAAGCAAGATGAGGTCGCCGTGCTTGAGCAAACAATTCGCACGAGAAATGAAATGCAACGAGCTGCTGGCGTAGAGCTTGCAGCCACTTGCCACATCTGTCTCAAGACCAAGTTCGCAGATGGCGTTGGCCATTCCTGCCACTATTGTAGGGTGAGATGCTGCGCACGCTGCGGCGGCAAAGTGACTTTGCGATCCAATAAGGTAACACCTCCATCATCTTTTGTTTCATTAACAACTATTTTTCCATTGAATTATGACAATACAGTCACATTTACCATTGCAGGTTATATGGGTATGCATACTCTGTCGTAAAAAACAAGAACTATTGTCTAAAACTGGGCAGTGGATACACAAAAGCACTGGTCAAGATTCCATGTTGTGGCGAATGGAAAATGATTTGCGAGGATTACCACTCCAAGTTGAAGCATCATTAGACAAAAGACCAAAGTTAGAACGTGCACACAGTGCAGCGGAGAAAGAAAACCATCCTCTTCAGAGATCAGGCAGTGCATTACGTAGACAGTACAGCCAGCAGGAGCAGCGTTGTTACGGGGAGCTAGAGGGCTTAGCCCGGACTCATCCTCATCTAGTGCATCCTAGGCAGAAAGCTGCGTACGGCGTAGAAGATTCAATTACTATTCCACCGTCACAACTTATGCCACACACGCAAAATCACCCTCCTATGCCCCCTCGCTCATCGTCATCGGACGACGAGGTTCCCGAATGTGTATCAGATGAGAACGACGAATATCGTGATCGCGGTAAGTATGCACGCTGCCCTTTAGCTGTTCACCCTAGTCCCGCTGCCCTGTTCACGTAAAGACCTCTCAACCCGAGCTTTTTTGTTTGTTGATCCTCACACTCACACAATACACTACTAAACACACATTCAGTTACAAAACAATTATTTTTTCCTTATCCGATTAATATGAAATCCTCTAATTTCGATGCATAAATCATCATTCGCCCTAAGAAATGATAAAGTTAAGGTGTTCCGTGCGAGGTATTCAATAATTTAAGTACTTTAGAATAGTCTCAGGTAAACTATATTTAAGTTATATTAATTACATCTTTCACAGAAATGGATAGTGTTGAGCACCTAAACTTGTCTTTGAATGTTTCCATTACATAAGTCTCCTCATATACTACATGTTTCATCGCTACATCGACTTTCTTCTACGATTCAAGAAAATACTTCGTTTCATCTATAATAGCCGTTTCTTTTCAGAAAATTACAGCTGCCAAAACTTCTTTATCATCAAAACTAGCACAGCTTTATTGAGCACGTGCTAGATTTGACGCCATAATCAACTTTAATACAAATATAAATTATCATAACTACTTTTACCGCCACGTGCGTCTTGTGTGCCCAAAGACCTTCGCGCCCGGTAACCTCGTATTTGCACCTCCTGTTGTAGCTCATCACGCCATCCCACTGTTTGCAGGTAATAGAGATAGGAGCAGCTCCGAGAGCTCCAGAAGCCAGCGTCAAGCGATGCTAAACGAGAAAATGAAAAAGTTCTTATCGGTGAGAAGGCGTGTGTTTTTCGGGAGAATATGCGTTGTAATATTGCTGGAATTAGATGTGTCAATACTGTTTTCACAAACTACCTACTTCTTCCTCTGGTCGGCCAATCTATATCTTTCAACTACAATTCAACTCCTACGAGGAACATTTACTAGTTCATACCCCTGTTGATCTCCTATGAAGTTGGAAATAATTGCTAGATTCGTAAGCATTTTTTGATCAAATGAACTGTAGATGTGCCTCCTATGTTTCCATTGTTTGAACCATAAAAGGGATAAATCTCTTTCTTTTTCTTTGAACTGAAATTGTTTTGAATGATTTTTTTTCGTATAAAAATGGTTCAAGCAAATCGCATGCCTGGGCGAAAAGAAGTGTACTTGATATCATTTCTCTTATGAATTCGTTAGATCTTGTGAAAGTGTTTGTTTGTTTTATGATTGTTGTTTTATGTATGACTTGGATGAGTTAACACACACGTTCTTTCCGCTTGTGCGTGTTCACTGCTTTCAATTTATTTTTGATCTGGAGTGGCTGATTTATTGTACAAAACTATAGGAGAGTAATAACGTGGAGCAGTTGCTGCTGGGACAAGAAAATAAAGTTTATATTTAATTGGAAGGTTCCGGGCGCGGACGGGTGCGCAAGTCGTTCGGCGTGCGGAGACTTTACTCATAACAGTATAATTGCGATTGATCCGATATCATTCTTAGGACAACTTGAGGCGTGCAGTTCTCTTCGGCACCCTCACTTGCGCAGCACCAGCGTGGCTGCCAACAATTATTACAATTTGACTAATCATTCGCCGGCCGCTTATGATGTGGAGCCGCGCGGTCTTTTAGAAACGTCGAGGACAGTACCAACTGGTGGACGTAGTTTCGACTCAGTAACAGACTGCCGGTGGCGAGCGCGAGACGATGGAGAAGGAGCTTACCTGCGCCCTTATGCGCCAGACGAGAGCTCACGTGCTGAAAGAGCTGTATATAAGAGTGCATATTTATGGGAGGATTCCGCAGACAATAGACGGTTTACAGAGAGAAGAAAAAAGACTGTTCGCTTTGATGGGCACGAAGGCGCTGCGACTTTCCCAAGGGGTGGTCGAGACGCCTCGGGCGCGCCCCACGATTGGGCTTCTCTGCGTTGGGAGTCTGAACGCCAGGCCAGCCAAGACTCTGCGACTAAAGACTCGGGCATCGATACCTCTAGCACCTTCACATCAAGTGAAGATTCAAATAGAGGCGATTGTCCCAAGGTACGGAGACAATATTTTAAATTGAATAAATTATCATTTAGTAGGCACACCAAACGAGGGGAAGATTTTGTTGTACGACCCATTATTTGTATGGACAACAGCTCATCAGGTTACCATGAATAGTCGAAATTTTGAAATCGATTTTGAACTTTGAACCCAACCACTAAGGTTAGAATCGATTTAGGAATTTTGACAGATTTGTATCACCTGAGGGGTTGTTGTATAATATAACAGACCAATATTACGATGTAAATAGGAAAACTCTGAAAATGTAGATGTTTACTGGGTTGTGGTCTCTGTGTTTGGCTGTAGCATGATTTCATTAACGGGCATGAAACGGTTGACTTTTGGATGTGCACTTTGTATTTCGCAATACACACTTTGCCAGTTGCTAATATAAAGTCATTTTTTCATGTAAATTTTTTTTATGTGGAATTCTGTTTAATTTAAAATAAACTTCGACATCATATCACAGTTCCCGCAGAGTTGGCAAGTGTCGGCAGATGGCACTCGCATGGTTGGACACATGGTGCTTCGCAAGAGCGTGGTAGAAGGTAGTTCTCACTCGTCAGCAGCCATACTGGGACTGAAAGTAGTCGGCGGAAAGCTACTACTCGACGGAACCCGAGGGGCTGTTGTAGAAAAAGTCAAGAAGGGTTCTATAGCAGATTTAGAAGGACAGCTTAGAATAGGTAAGACTCATGAGGGTACCATTATAATATGCTTTACGAATTTTAAATAAATATTGACGTGCACTGAGCTGCCTAGTTATCACTGTAATTAATTTTACACCGCACAGTAAAGGCCGTTTGCACTAAACTTAGGATGTTCCGATGTTCCTAATGTCCTTAAATATTTAGATGACTCCTAAGTGTCAAATTGGTTTCCACGAAACTGTTGAAAATCGTAAACAGCCAACTCAATCCAAAATTCTATGCCAGCAAATATGGAGCTCGTAAAGGACACCCGGCATTTTGTGCCAAAGTTGTATACTTTTTTAATTTTTTATCTGTGTTTCATAATTGGGTAACGTAGTCTGGCAATATTTGTCATCAGCAGCTAGCTGTCAATGTCAAATACGTAGGTTTGTCAATATAACCTCTATATGTAGCCGAGTCGTCAAGAGAAATAATAACGGATAAAAAAGCAATCATATCAGAGAACATTCACAATCACAGTACGCGGGAGCGGATGCGAAATGCGAATGATTTTCTGTTTGTATTTTGGGGATGTCAAATTGACATTTGGTTTTTCATTTAGAAAAAGCAAAGGAATCATGGTTTGTACAGTCACTTGAGTAATATTTTGAAGCAAAATTCTGTCCCTCGAAGATTTAGGGTTTCCATATCAAAAAATATTAATCATTATATAATTTCTTTCCACGATTCACTAAAAATAAGGCAAAAGTAGTTTTATGTAGCAAATAATTTTGGCTTTATTTTGAGACCAAATTCAACTGTATACAAGTTTAGCATTTTTTCTATGAAAAGTGCCGGGTCTCCTTTAGAAACATCTTATTTATTTTACAAATAAATCTTCTTTAGTGTTGCTTATTAATCAGTCGCCTTTTTAATAAGTTTTATCAAAGATAAACACTAGGTACTTGTTGAATGTTTCGTTCGCTCATTAAGAGTATTCTGAGCTAAAAACATCTTAGGACTTTTGTATTGGTGCAAACCAAAATTTACCAAATATAGGTAAGATTTGTCTAAGTGTAGGTGCAAACGGGCATTTTACTCCTTTACTGGTATTATAATTTAAACTACCAAGCATCGCCCAGTTATATTGTCTGTTACATAACATGTAACTAGGTAGCATTATAAAATCTACGCTATTGCGCGACAGGTGATGAAGTATTGCAATGGAATGGTGTGCCGCTTCAAGGCAGAAGTGCAGAGGAAGTGGCAACTGTAGTGGCAGACAGCAAACATGATTCTCATGTTGAACTTGTTGTATCGCGACCACTAGCTTCTTCTAGACCTACACCACAGTCTTGGAGAACACACAAAGGTATATCCTTATGTGAACATTTCAATAATCACTTCCGGTAGGGCTGGAACTGAACTGAACTGATGCTCGCGTGGTTTTGTATGAAACTTAGTTTCAGCCCACATATATCTAATTTGAAATATTTATTAAATAAAATATCTCGATTCTGTCCAGAGTTCTATACTGAAGTGATGGGAGGGTGTGAGAAACCGAGCGTGCTCGTTACATCTCCAGGATCACCAGACGTACATTCACGACGAAGACCCACAAGACACAATCACCATAACGCCAACGTTGCGGGTAGAATTCAAGTAAGACAGCGTATTACTTTTATAAACTGAATACTTTTTAAAACGTTTTGCTATCACGATGACGTCGATATACACGTTTTATAGTTTTATAACATCAACTTTAAAATGTTTTTGTGATTCAAACAATTTTCTTCTGCAGCTGAAAGTATACTTCGACATTAGCGCTCTGCAATTGCTAGTGACAGTAGTGTCCGCAAGTGGACTAAGTCCCAGATCTGATGGCACGCCGAGGTGTCCGTACGCAAAAATCTTCCTCCTACCAGACAAGAGTGAAAAAAGCAAAAGACGAACCAAAACACTGGCCAATACTTTGGAGCCACGCTGGAACCAAACCTTTGTGTACTGCGGTATTCGGATAACAGACATAAAGAAAAGAACTTTAGAGGTACGCATACCTACGTACTGGTATTATATTATATTTATTACGACCTCCTTGGCCGTGTGGTTTGTACGCCGGGTTTCATGGTGTCGCCGACTCGAGAGGTCCCGGGTTCGAATCCCGGTGGGGGCAGATGTTTGTGTGATGAATACGAGCATTTGTACTCCAGTCATGGATGTTTAATATGTATTTCTATATAAATATACTTATATATGTACAGTATATGTGTTTTCTATCCGTTACCCTAGTATCCCAATACACAAGCCTTATAGTCTTAGCTTGGGGCTAGGCTAATTGGTGTGAGTGTTGGAAATATTTATTTATTTGTAGTATAAAATAACAATTATACATACATACTTCTGGATAAGCTTTTTCCAATTCTAATGTTTCGTTTGTCTCCAGGTAACTGTGTGGGATCTAAATCGTTTGGGTCCAAACGATTTTCTAGGTGAAGTTTTACTTGATCTCGATCATATCGTTATGAATCACGAACCCAATTGGTACACGCTGAAACCTCACGAGGAATCTGCTTCCTTTAGTGTAAGTTGGTGTTTTATTCCTTTTCTTCAATGTCGTTATTATAAGTTATCAAGGAAAATAATTGTAAAATATCTTATTTTAGAGATATCGTGAGGAGGAAGCCGATGGAGAACACTTGTCTCCACCTTCGACTTCGACATCACGACTGTCGGACTCGGACACACCAAGTGAATGTGATCTACGTCGCCATCACTCGCTTTCTAGTTTGGCTTCCAGCTCCAGTCCGCCTCCACCGCATGAGGTAACATCTATATGTGCCTTTATATCTTTCATTATTCATCAAATTTATGAGGAGCTCGATGGCGCAAGTGGTTACAGTCCGACCACGATAAGTCTGCAGTAGCCTGATAGAAGCAAAAATTAAAGCTTTGCACATGACAACACTGATTATAGTTTAATTAACTATCCATTTTATTTTATTTATGACCGACCTAAAAAAGGAGAAGGTTCTTTGTTGTTTGCACATTTATGGGCCGATTTCGATGATTCAGTTTTAGCGTCCCGTACCCAAAGGGTAAAAATGGAACCTCATTGCTGGCATTCTGTCTTCTATCTGTCTGTTCGTATGCCACGGGTCTGTAAATCGTAAACGGAATGAATTACAGAACTGAAATTTTGGCATTTTATGTAGAATACTTGCCTTAAGCCCAAAGATGTGCTTATGGCACATCATATACCAAAATTAAAACGCGGATTAATAATTTAGTTTGTAAGTTGTGCTGAAAATAAATAAATGATTTTCCCTGTCGTGGTATTTTGTGAACTGCGATGTAGACATGGCCAGAGCTCGGAAATAAACTATTAAATAAGTCAGTTTTATTTGGTAGCTTCAATAGCAGGATTATTTTATTGTACAGAACCCTAATAGAGCGACAATAGACCCGCGGTTGACCAGTTTTTTGTTTGAAACGGGTAGGCAGGTTTTTGGCGAGATGGTCCCATATTAATAAGCTGAAGATCTGTTATTAGAGGAGTACTTTGGGAGACGAAAAGAGGGAACTTCTCGATTACAAACAGTACACAATTAAATTGTTTTTGGTTATTGTAAGAAACATAAAACAGATCCAAAATAGCATAGGCTAACTACCTGGAATAAATATAATTTGTTTTATTCCAAATTCAAAATAAAGAAATTTCGAATAAAACAGATAATGCATTCCAGCTAGTTGCAATAATATTTTTTTAGTTACCCATCCGATGACCGACCATTCGAAAGTTGCTTAACTTCCACCATCGCGGACCGAATGTGCTAACCATTTTCACCATAGAGCTCCTCATTAATATAGTGGATGGTTTTAACCTTCTCTTCGCTATGATGACATTCTTACTGAAACTAGTTTCATCGAATCAAAATTATTTGTTGTTTTACAAAACAGCGGATGGACATGGATGGAAACCGGAACAGCCGACGCGAGATGTCGCCAGCTGGTCGAGTACGGGCCGCAGGCATGTCCAGAGAAAGGGTAAGTTTTTAAGAACTACGTAAATACCTGTCCAGATATCCATGTCACGATGTCGTCGTCATATACAATATGCGTACCAAACATTCAAATTCGTTCATTTTACCTACCTACCTACCAAACTTTCACATTTATAATATTAGTTGGATAAGATAGTAGGATGTATATTAAAAACAACCTTAAAGCAAGTAACTTACATTGCGAATATCGTTCTTATTAGTACGGAATAAAGGTGCTGTCTAAATTGATTGAATAATAAACAGTCTTTTTATAGGCCATTTATATATTTACCACGGCCATGAACGGGCCATGTACTTGTTTTCCCGCCTTTTCACATAAAAAAAATAAACGAACGGTTTCTGAACTGCATGAGCATAGACCGTAGACAGGGAATGGATAGACAGAAAACTCTGGACGCTCATATGAATATGAAAACTCTCCAGAAACAGAAAAACGCCTCATTGATCGCTTTGTCTCTCTCACATTTGCTTCCCAGCTTTACCTTAAGGCGCCTATTCACGGCAGTCCGCCTTGCCGTCCGCCGCTATATGCAGGATTGTGAATTTTGTCGCAGCCTGCATGGCGTCCGGTAACACTGAGCAGGATGCGTCTTGAGTTCTGTAGGGCGAACTGCTTTGCGGAATCGTTAATAGACCCTTTGTAGTTGGTTATGGAACGCTTAGTACATTCTCTGTTTATGGCGATGACAAATGTTCAACTTTTCTCCAGAGTGGTGGATACAGCGTGGCTCGATCGCAGTCTGCGGCAGGCGCGGCGCGGCCGCAGAGAGCTCGCAGCAAATCTCCGCGTCGCTCATTATCACCGCCCGTCGATCGCGACCGAGACACATGGCGTTACACAGGTGCCGCACTCGGCGCCAATTGCCTCTACCAACCAATCAGATACGAGACTAAAGCCACTCGTGTTTGGTCACACCGTCAGATTGGTCTGTGGAAGTCGAACCACAGCGGGATCCGACCCCGCACGGAACACTTATTATAATTTATCATCGAGAAACGCACGTTCTCTCGTTGCGTCCGCTCATCACCACTTTACTGCAACAAACTTTTTTAAATTTATCCTCCGCTCTGTTCCACTGTATACTTTTATGTATATCTTTATTTTTCACGCATCTTCCGCAAAACCTTGTCCTTCTACCTACTGATAGTTGCACGCTGTACTGATGATGGGCCGCGGCGTCCATGACACTTCTTTCTTACATGGACACCGGGGTTTTAGAAAAAATATCCACTTCATATTTTTTTAAATTTGCATGTCATGTAAATTCTAGATTTCTTTTTTTCGAAATGTTGTTGACAAATTTCTTCTTGTTTATCGTCCTTATAATCTTACCTAATTCCTATTGTATTAATTACTCTCATTACGATTAATTGATTCATCATCTCTTAATTAGAGGAGACAGCAAATATGGTAATATTTCAGTAGGCGAGGACAGAGGCGGAGATGTGTCAAGGCTGCCGACACATGCCTACGCTCCGAGGTTTCAGTCGCGGTCCGCCACCGCTACTCCGACCACGAGTCCCAAGAAACGGCAACTTCCACAAATTCCGCACCAGGTAAGTCAGACTATTACACCAGCACATTATTATAAATTAATTGAAATAGACAACATTCTAAAATGTAACATGACGTATGTGCAGAGTACTCAGAGAGCGGTGCGGGCACAAGTATCAGCGGACCTAGAGGAACGTAAGTGGATCGCCCCGCATCACATTGGCGCCACACTAACCTACCGCAGCACGCCACAAGGTCAATACACGCAAACCCTGCCCAATGCCTCGTATAGTTCAATTTTGTTTTACAGGCTCTGTAAAACGTATAAAAGATCAGAATTAGAGATGCACTTGTCACATTCCCATACCTAGATGTACCAATGTACTAAAATAGGAAAATTAAATCCTGGACATTACATTAAAACTGATATCATTTAGATCTCACAACATTTAGCCTTAGCGAATAGTGTTTATATTATATTTATATAATTTTTGAAATTAAAAATATAACGTATGGATGATTACAGGTTGGGAGCGTCACTACGCGGGACTTTCGGACTCTGAATTGGCAGCGCGCGGAGGCAGCGGCTGGGCACCACGTCGAAGACTTTCGCCTGATGCCACAGCCGCTGACTCTGATCTCGAGTCTGTCGCATCCGTCACCTCGAGTGCATTCAGCACGCAATCAGAGAGACCGCGACCCACTCGCATGCTCAGGTACTTACTGAAAATCTTGTAACACATATCCTAAATTTTACAACATACACCTACATTTATAAGCAATAACGTACAATAAATTTCAAATAAATTTGCAGCCGGAAAATAATACTACCCCCAAACAGTACATCTTCCTCGTGCGATAGCGCTACCCCTGTCCCGAATCACCGTCGTTGTGATCGAGTCCCCCGTCTACTGCCGTACGTTTACGTCCCTGCGGGTGCGGAGCGCGCGGTGCGTAAAAGCATTCGGTCTCGATATGACGTCACTTTGAACGTAGCTTCGAATGCTACGCATCGCGCGCGCCCCACCCGCCGTCTACGTCGCTTACTAGCCAGAAGTCGATCAGCCGGCTCCTGCACTAGAGAATGCTCTCGCCGCCATGCTTACGAACGAAGCTATAGCTGTCCCGAATACCCGGCACATATCAATACTTATAAAATCACTGACAATAATAAAGATTACGTATTCCAAGTACCTATACCACATACGCTGAAACATACACATAATGTTCAAACATTAATGACGAACAGTGAGCTAATACGGTTTCAAACAATGAATGTAGCAAAGTATCCATCACCCCCAAAAACACATCATAGAAGGAAACCGAAACCACGACAAGAGACTTGGTGTCTCGGTCGTCCACAATCTGTAGACAGTAATAATTATCAACAACAAAGGTCTAAAGAACTGAAAAGGCGAAAACTACCGAGTATTGATCATCCTCCTACTGCACGTGTTAGATCCCTGCCAAATATTCCAGCAGCAAATAATCAAAATAATTCGAAAGAAATTGTTATTAATACTATATCATCAGATGTTACAATAGAAAACAAAATATCTTCACAGTATCACGGTTACGAAAGTGACGGCAGTGACGCTGAGACTACAATTTATGTGAGCATTGACAAACAAAATAGTGTAGAAATGAAAAATAACAATGAATCGGTTACCAGCATCGTAGATACTTTACTTCCAAATTCAATTTCAATAAAACCTTATAAACGTTCTATTTCAAGTATAAAATCTAGTAACATAAGAAAAAAAGGCCTATCCCTTGATTTAAAAACAACTTACGATTCTATTAATTCGCCTCAATCGCAACTTTTAGATCACTCACTGGATAAAGTTGAACATACACGCGAGTTAAAGAACGAACTCTTCATTGCAAGTCTTCTCACTAAAAAAACAAAGTCTGTTAAAAATACGCGGAGACGTCATTCAGATTCCTTAGTACTTTTAAATCCTAAAGTAAGCACGCTATTCACTCCAGATAATCAGGCAGATGTTTTCAAAAAAATGAGTGTATCTCCTAAGCCGTTGTTAAGTAAGGAAGACATTGATGACGTTGAAAAAAGTAGTATAAAACACGGTAATAACGTTAGCATAAACGAAGTTCCAACATTTCAAGAATACGCTTCACCTCATTCCCTCTTCCCTCGATGTAGTGTTGATTACTCGTTGATAAAACCTTTACCATCTATTATTAAGAAAGCTCGCACACGTTCACATTCTTTAGCATCTACTGACCATTTAGATCACGAATTATGTAAAATGGCTAACACTGTGTTTATTGCTCTTTCTCCCCCAAACCTCGACTCGCCCCGACGCGCACACACTCCTGTTGCATCACATCTGCCACTCGATGACATCCATCATGACACTCATAATGCGGCAACCGAATCACCCGCCTCGGGGAAAACTACCGCTGGCATTGAAACCCAACCCGTGGTGCGACGCGATTACAACACGGGCCGCAACGAGAATCAATCGACTGCTCCGAAAAAACAACGGGGAAAATCTGGCCAACGCCGTGGATCAAAACGTAGCAACGACTACGGCGGCAGAGAGAACGGTCGCAGTAACAACCAGCCGCAACCTTTGGAAAGGCGAGAATCGCGACGGGGACAATTCACGAGAAGCCTCAGTAATGCTGATGTACCTCCTGACGAGAAAGCAGGTAATTTTGTAGTAATTGCCTAGAGATATCTTGCAACATTTGAATCAATCAACCAAATTACTGCTTACATTAGGCTACGCATATCTACTTACGTGTACATTTATCATTTCCACAAGAGATACATGCGCCAAACTTTTGTTTTTGTTAATAAGGTATATGTGGCTTTCTCTTAAGCATATATTTTTTCATGTAAGATGGCAGCCTCAGCGATACTGCATTGGGTGGAACCAATGAACTGGAGCCGGTCAGTGACGACGTGCTCCTGAAGGCGGAACCTCGTGACTACTTCGGCCCTGGTATGGGCAAGAAGAGTAATTCCACGTCGCAGCTGTCGGCCACAGGTGAACCAGCACTGGCTACTACCAACTCACTTCACTACTACTGCACTCTTAACACACCAACTGACCTTTTAGCATTGGATCAATACAATTTTCGCTATCGGATGCACAAAGGTCGGTTTCCTTCTCTAAGTAAATAACTGTACCATGTTTAATAAAATGATCGGCAGGGCGCAAACGGAGGTTAGGTTTCGGTAAACGTGGCAAAAATTCGTTTACGGTCCAACGCAGCGAGGAGGTGGTACCGGGGGAAATGCGCGGGGCCGGCTCCGGTGTGTCGCGCGCCTCCTCCGCCTCCAGCGAGAACGACGACGACAGGTTCGCGGCGCCCGCAGCGGCGGCATTGACACAATAGTGGCCCTCGGGCGGGGCGGTAGATCTCGCGGCGCGGTCATTCAACTCTAACATTAGCGGCATCGAAGCCGTCCGTTGTGTACATACGATACACAGCATGCTCGGAAACGCGTCAATTCTAGATGTGCGATGTTGCTTTTGTGGATTTAGAGAAATAGTGCTTTACTCGGTAATACTCGTCCTGTGCTTCAAACGAGAGAGTTACTTATCAAGATAGGAATATCACGCTAAAAATAGGCTAGCTATGATAAAACTGTTGGATAACAGATACGTGTAAAGTACGCTCATAGCGATGCGATAGGTAACGATGTAACCACTGGTACTGAATGTGTTGCGACGATGCGTTGTGGCAGCGCGCGCGCGAGGCGGCGAGGGCGGCGGTGCGCGCCGCAAGCGGTCGGGCCCCGCCACCACCACGTTCCAGCGCTCGCACGAGGTGTGCGCGGCCAGCCTCGTCTCCATATCTAGCTCGGAAGGATCCTCGTAAGTGGCTCGCTCGCTCGTCCGAGCCGCGGCTCCTCTTCTATGTGTGCATCGATGTTGCTCGCGTCTTCTATTCTCGCCCCCTTTCTATGTGCCTCTCGTCTTGTAAACGCATGATGCCGGTTTTTAAATTGGTGTTTTGACTTCATACTATATTCTGTTCAGCACGCACGAGTCTTCTCTCGCATAGGCAACGCACTCTCTCGTTTCCTTCAGACTGCTACCTTTCGATGTTAGCTCTCGACGGTATTATACGGTTTTCAGTCATATCACAGACGGCGAATGGGGAGTGACGTAGCCGACGCCGGTAGGCGCTTCACAGTATGATGCACGAGTGTGATTGGACGATAAATGTTGCCTGATCGCCTAAAAACTTTGCACATTTTTATTAATATCTCATATTGATAAATTAAAAAAAAACTTGTCGACGTATGTACACACCCCTCACGATACCCATGCATGATTTTTTTCTGGATAACATCACACCATTAATTTATTCATCCTTTATAGAAGAAATTTTGGCAGGTTGGTTTTTAATTAATACAAGATGAAGATTTATCGTTATTATCTGGAGACGAGGCTTAGAAAGTTATTGAATTTAAACCTTAATTTTTAATTTACTTTCTTGTCGAGTCAGATTATTTGTGCAATATAACTTAATCTCATTGTAATGTATAGCATACATAACATTTGTTAATATTTAACTGTAAACTTGGTATGTATAAATAACTATAGTAACAGATCATTCCTTAGAGATTCTTTAGCACCTATAAGATTTTCTACTAGATGTCTTTAAATTTTCTATGTATAGTACCTAATTTCCACGTATTTACTTAATTTTTATCACTCGATGCATCCGAAAGACTACCGCCCTCTTCTTCACTATTGTATCAATGTTGTCATTGTTGTAATTTTTATACTTAATTTATTCTGTATTCTCCTATTGTAGTTGCGAAGACAATGTCTGGTAAAGTCATTACCTTCAGTTTATTACCCTTTAGAAAATAGAACTTACTACCCACATGGACCTTTTATATTGATTCGCTGCTATCTGTTACGCATTGGATTTAATTAATTAATCATGTTATATATTTTCATAAGCTTTTCTATCAAATAGGAACACGTAAGTTTAAAATGGGAACATTACCAACTTATAATATTGTGTCATTTCGAGAATATTTTGTATGACTAAGTAAACTGAAAAACTTTCCGATATTATGTAGCAGATAACTGCCGATATAAACGCATGCGCTATCTGTATATAAAAATGATTTAAATAAAAATTCCTTCAGTGTCAGTATCTTTTATCAGTTTTATTTTAAATCACAAATGTTTAAGCGTGAACACGAAGCAGACGTTAACACCACGTGCAGTTTTTATGCAACTAATTTCATAGAACAGCGCACGCGTCGCCGGAGAACCGCCTCACGCAGCGCTGCTCTATGAAATAACATGAAACAAACACGCCGAGCGCACGCCCGCTGTGTTTCCGCTTATTCAGTGCAGGCTCTAATAAAACTTTGCGGTGTTAAATGTGTTAGGGCAACTACTAAAATGGTAGGTTTTATTGCAATGGCAACATCGACAGATGGTCGCCGGGGATGCGCGGTTCGGGTTCGTCCGACGGCGGAGGCCTATCAGACTTCATCGACGGTCTGGGACCGGGCCAACTCGTCGGGAGACAGTTGCTCGGAGCGCCCACCCTGGGTGATGTACAACTTTCGATGTGTTACCAAAAGGGATTCCTAGAGGTTAGTGCTTAACTTATTGGTTCTTTTTTGATAAGATTATTACAAAAAAAAACCCTTACAATTTTTTCACTTTTTTCCTTTCACAATTTTTTTTCTTATGTTTCAAAAGTTTAAATTCCATTCAACAACTACCCAAGATGAAGTCCTGTATTTATTATTATTTAACAACATCGGAAACAAATATATATATTTCTGATCCTAACCTGACCGTCACGGTGCGTTCAATCTACGCTATACTTTAAAGCATTATAAGCTCATAATATGATATCGCGCACCATAATATTGACAAAGAACCTTAGATTAAAGCAAAAAGGGAAGATACGGCACTTGCGGCTCAAAAGTGATCCGTTTAAATTGTGGTGTATTAGGATATTTGACAGTATTAAAAATAAAGTGTCAATTGTTAGCATCTGTGTTTAGAATGAATATTGGGCAAGGGTTTTTACTATTTTTACAAAAAAATATTTATAATTTTACTAAAACCCCACGAAAAAGGTAATAGTTTTCTTATCTATTGTCACGTGATCCGAAATGCTTGGGATTGGCGGAGCCTTAAATGACACACGCAAGTAAACTTCCGGTTAAAGTGACATTACATTGTATCGTTTGACGTTTTAATAACAGTCGTGTGTATCTAATCAACTATAGTCTGAATAATAAAAATATCATAGAAACAAAGCTTGAGTAGGCCTACCTCTAACTGGAGTTTGATTTATTGAAACTGGCCGTAAATCGATGATTATATTCTTGTTTACAGGTAGAAGTTATCCGCGCGAGAGGTTTACAAGCACGGCAGGGTAGTCGCACTCTGCCCGCGCCCTACGTAAAAGTTTACCTGGTTAGCGGCAAACGATGCGTGGCTAAGGCCAAAACCAGTACTGCGCGGAGGACGCTAGACCCATTGTACCAGCAAACGCTGACCTTCAGAGAAAACTTTAAAGGCTGCGTTCTGCAGGTGAGTTGATAAATTCGACTTTATCGCCGCGATATAAATACTTCAATAGATTATTTTATCTTTTAATAGATTAGGGGAAGTCTTTTCGCATTAAAGTATGTTTTAATTTCTAATAAAATCTCTTTAGCTATGCCATTTGTATGTGGCTTGATTTGTTATCATTAAAAAGTTTAAATTTTAAAGAAGATCCAAAAATAAAGAAATTCGATACATTTTAAAAGGACTATGGGCAAAAATGTATAAACCCACGTCAGCCACGGCTGAAATTACATTTGTTTAAAAACTATTATAGCTATATGATTATCTGTGCCAAAGTGCATTAAATTCCATCCCGGGTTTCTTTAGTTATTTTAAATTAAAGAGTTATAATTACTATAACAAACGAACATTATTAAAACAAGGGAATTAATTATATAACATTTCTTTCATTACAAATATTTTTAATAATCTTTACCCACAATCAAAGTGTCTAGAAGAGAGCGGGTGTGTAAAAATTCTGTTCGCGTCTTGTCAGACCTAAAAACTACAACGGTGTGAGTGTATTTTTGCTCCCAAAAGCCAAAGAACTGACCCATCAATGGGTTATTAAGCTAGGCAACGAGTAGTCACGATTTTCGGTATAAGGATATGCTGAAATGTCCGTCTCTCCGAACATGCTCACCGTAATAGCTTTTAGCTAACATCAGCTGGTTATGTGCCCAGAAAAATAATAATAAATCATTCACACAATCACAACGAAGTAAGACGAATGCATATGAGTCAACTAGTTGCAAATGCAATTGTAAGTGGCTTGATGGCAAGGCCGGTTATAAGTGGCTTGAGTGTCTACTAGCCTGGCCCTCGAAAGACAAGCATGACAAATTTTAATTTTTTTATTAAAGTATTATTTTTAAGCATTAATCTGCTCGGTTTATAAATCTAAGACATTTGGAACTAGAAAAAAATTGAGTAGTATTTTTAATTGCAGTAAAGTATCAGGCAGGTTCAGAAAAACAATCTTAGATGATGATAAGATAGAAACTCGGATAATAATAAAATGTGTTGGAAGTTACATAATTATACAATATACAATAGTACTTTTTAATAAATATCAAAGCGTTTTAGTCGCTGTATAGTGGGGATACCATGTAAGCGACAGAGGCGACCTCCTTTTTCACGACTTAATTGACAGATTGTTCGCTCAAACGTCATGTTATTATTTCTATACTTTAGTTTTTATTCTCAAAGAGAGGGTAGGCCGAGTTTTGATTGGACACATCACAAACAGACGACAAATAAGTAAGCTTTGCAGAGGGGGTACCCTTGTATGGACTCTGGCGGGGGTTCTGTACACAGTGCCCTCATTAAGGCATTTATGTTATTAATGGCCTTTTCATGTTGAAAACGAGCCTTACAAGTTTTGTGATTATTACAGGTCACCGTTTGGGGAGACTATGGCCGTATAGAAGGCAAAAAAGTGTTCATGGGCGTAGCACAGATTATGCTCGATGACTTGAATCTTTCTAATATTGTCATTGGATGGTACAAGCTTTTTGGAACGACTTCTTTGGTGAGATTTTTGTCTTTTGTAATACATATAATATGAATATTAGATGAACAAAAAACTAATATTATTTATTTTCTTTTCCAGTAACCCATACTACCAACAACACTGTCTACAAAGTGTTTAAAGAACTTATATCATCACAATAAAAAACTTAAAACTTGTCCAACTAATAAATTTAGTGATACTGCTTTAATATCATGATAAATCGCGAAATATCTTGAATATAGGAAGTTTTCTATAAACGAAAGGTATAAATAAATAATAATTTGTATTTTTTTTTTGGAATGCCTACCGGAGTTTTGAATAGATAGCATTTTATAGCAATGAAACAAATGTATAGTGTACTCAATAATATGTAATTAAGTATTAAAAGCCAAATGCAATTCTGTTATTTCTTTCTGATTCACCTTCTTTTGTTAACATAATGTAACCAGGCTTAAATTCATTTGTCAGAAAATATTCTATTACATTATAGTTAATAATACCTATTTCATCAAATATATAACGAGCGAATTTTTATTAAAAATAACAGTTTATAGGTATGTATATTAAAATAAAGTGGGATCATTTCTACCATATTTATTTAATTGAATTTAACATTAGTGTCATATTCACGTACAGCATCATTCAGTCTAAACACTTACACTTCATAGTCAGTCATATACACTTACAGAGAAGTACAGTCACATAGAGTACGTTTTTAAAATCAACAAGGATAGCGGTGAAAATAAAAATAGATCATAATCTAATCAAAAGGTATGCAGTGAGATGTCATTAAAATATAAGAATAAAATAAAAGTACTAACCGTATGGGTGAACATAATCACTTTGTTGTCTGTATAAAACTATGTAAGAATAAAACTATGTTAGGACATTGTTCAGTGGAGAATTTGTTTGGGTTGCTTTGAGGGTGAAGCGCCTGGTAGCCGCCCTTCACCTGCCCGCTTTACGCCAGTCGATTTTATATCTGTAAAAGAGCAAACCTGTGATTGTCTCAGATACTTTATGGTTTCTTTTCCTTAATAAATTAATAGTTTAAAAAAACTAAAAACACGCTTTTATTTACTGCATTAAAAAGCCAAAAATAAACAAAAAATACTCTCGGTTTACTTCATTAGGGCCTTAAAATAAACCATGTTTATATTTAAGTAAAGAGAGAGTATATTTTGGCTTTTTAGTGCAGTAAATAAAAGCGTGTTTTTAGTTTTTTAAACTATTAATTTATTTAACTCTTTTTTGTTTCAGTCATCAGGAAAAATTAACAGAACTCTAATGAGCCCAAACTCGATATGTTTACTAGTAGGCAGTCCAAGGTTCCATCAGCCACCTTCCAGTCCCATCATCAGACCAGCTCGACGGTACCATAATATTGTATTTTCATCTAATCTACATATAACTGCCAAGTTTCATGATGATATAAGAATCAGAAGTGCGTGAAATCAGATTCTTAGATTCCATTACATAGTTACATACAGGTCGACCTAATAAAAGCGTGTTAAAAAAGAACCCATGCAACATGTTTCCTGCGTAGGTTTGGACACATAAATGACAATAGAATATCGAATAGTGTTGCAGGACTATCGATAGTTGACCTTCCATAATATTGATAAAAGAGATCGAGAGCGAGAGAGAAGAGACAAAGGTGATAATATTGAGAGACAAGTACAAGGTGTCTCAAAAGAAATTTTATATTTAGTGGATCGATTAAAAAAAATGTAAGCCGTATATAGAAAAAATGTTTATTAATTAATTATTAAAATACACTTTTTGGGGATTTATTTCTTAAAAATAATATCGTCTAAATGTAGACTCGCGTTCTCGGCATTCATTTAATCGAACAGTAAAATTACTTTCGCGCTTCCGAATTGAAAGGTTCGGGTCGTCACGAACAGGCTGATTAACATTCTCCACGTTTTCTACCGTTCTTGATGACCTAGGTCGCCCGGATTTTGATTTATCCAGCGTTGTACCAGTCTCTTCAAACTTTTCAACCCAATGTCGAATGAGAGGTATGCTTGGCGCATCATTTAAGTGGCGAAAACTCGAAGACTGCAGAATTTTCTACGCGCTAAAATCAACGACTGTAGCGCGTTTCACATCACCGTTTTTGTAAAACTCTCGCACGCACAACGCGCAGTCTGCTCCCGAGAATCGCTCCATAGCGACTGAATTTCCAAGAGCCAGGCTACCGATAGATATAACCCCTGCGCCCCTCGGATACGTTGCGTTCACGCAGTAAGCTAAATAAATATAAAATTTCTTTTGAGACAGCCTGTACAATTATTTGCGATAGTATTGACTTTCCATTGTGTCAATTGTATCAAAACTAATCATATTTTTAAATGAATTAAAAACATGAATATATATAGACTGTTGAGCACTATCGATAGTATACGGAAATTCTATAGTAATCTGCGTGAAATATCGGCCACCTCTTAAAGACATGCAACTTTTTTTAATTTCGAACGGCAGTGCGGAAAATGATAGCAGGATTATGAGAGAGTTTCATCACCATTAAGGAACAAAACTAAAGATGTGATCAGTGTTTGGTTCCTTGCAGCCACCTGATGCAGCGATACGCAATATGGTACGCTGGGTTGGTGAGAGTTTTATCAAAACAAACGAACATTTGATTGATGTGATTGTTATAATAGGGAGGATGATGGTGTAAAGTAAACAAAATTCTATTTAGTCCGTCACGCGTCAATTAGATTTATCGAAAAAATAATGGACTACTTTATTTTTATTTTCGCAATATACCTCACAATGAGCGGGGGTTCGTCACGTCACTGCCAAGTAAAAATTGTACCAAGACGTGACGTCGTGCGACATTTCAAATCAATATATCTCTAATATTTTGATTATGTGAAGCCACCTAACTTGCGTTGCGGGTTCGTTAGCCCTTTTCATTTCGGTCTGCGATGCGGAATATTATAACAAGGCTAGAAAGGAAGGTATAGAAAGAAAAGAAGATGAGAGCGCTAGCTATCTGTCTCTCTTGTGACGCATGGCATCCAATGGCATCACATCAAAATAATAAGATGCTTATTGCCAATGCGCATGCGCAATTAGAGAGAGAAAGCTAGCGGTCTCTCATCTTCATTCTCTTTCTATTAGAGGGACACTTCCACTTGTACTAGAGTCTGTATCTCCTCTACACTATTTTTATACCTCTATGGATTGATATAATAAATGTTAAGTTAAAGTTTATTACCTTGAAGCCACCTGACTTGCGTGGCCGGCCCGTAGCCTTTTTCATTACGGGCAGCGATGCGGAAAATTATAGCGGGCTTAGTAGAAGAATCTACGTGGGCCGCGCCTAACGAGGACTGTGGTACAACGCACGTATTCGCCTTGCCGCAGTATACGCGCACGAAGGCCAATTGCGACTTCGACGCTTCCTGAGTGACAAAAAAATTTAGACACTATATTACGATGTCGAGCAAAAAACGCCAAAAAACACGTCTGTTGTACTTGTACCCCTCCTTAAAAAATAATTTTATTCTGTTTTTAGTAATTTTTGTTATAGCGGCAACAGAAACACATAATTTTTGAAAATTTCAAATTTATAGCTATAATGGTTCATGAGATACAGCCGGGGGACAGACAGTGGTGTCTTAGTAATAAGGTCCCGTTTTTTGCCCTTGCGTACGGTACTCTAAAAACAATGTGGTTATAAGCGATATGACTCTCACGCCTGCGCGACATAGGTTCGACTACATACTGCACTAAAATTAGCGCTCAAATTTTCGGTGTTAAAGGAGAGTTTGCACGCTCCTTCACCTATAGTGCGACCAACATCTTATGGTACTTTTATGACACGGACAGTAGAGCGCTGCTGGTGAAGAAGTGGTGAAATGAGGATTAATAAATATGTTAAATCTCCTCACTAAAGGCAACGTTATAAGTTATAATAATTCGGAGAGAGTAATCTTATATATAAAATTCTCGTGTCACAATGTTAGTTAGCATACTCCACCGAAATGGCCTGACCGATTTTTATAAAATTTTATATGCATATTCCGTGGGTCTGAGAATCATCTTCTATCTATTTTTCATATCCTTAAGTGATAATGGTTGTCCACCTGTAACGTAGTGTTCTGAAACCTACAATGCGCCTTCGCGCCAAAACACAAACTATTGGGTATTGTAACGTAGTGTTCTCATATGGGTTAGGAGGAATGTTTTCCCAGGAAATTGATAGAACACTACGTTACACACCACTAATTTTTTTTATATAATGTGGTATTAAAAAATACATACAACCCTAAATTTTCTCTTCTACCACCTGCCCCTATTTTTATGGCGGTACGAAGTTCGCTGGGTCAGCTAGTAGGATATATAAAATAGTGTTGACCAAAATCGGGTTTAGTCTTGCAGTCTTAGGCTGTCAAATCTTGCACGGTCAAATGCACGAACTCGAGTCTTGCGAAAATGCAACGACAAGACTAAGTCTTATATTACAGAATGACACCCAAGTGTTGATCCCCACTTGAACACAGTTAGAAAGGGATGTCACTATGTGCTATACAGAGCGGCATCCCTTTCTAACTGTACTCAAGCAAAGATCAACACCTAGTTGTCATTCTGTAATATGAGCCTTAGTCTTGTCGTTGCATTTTCGCAAGACTCGAGGTCGTGCATTTGACCGTGCAAGATTAGAGCAAGAACAAAACTAAGCCTGCGAGACTCTTGTGTCTTGCAGTTAGGTCTGAGTATCGTTTCAGGGAGTATAGGAGTTCGGGTATACTATTAGAGACTATGAGAACAAATTTATCGTCCCCCAAAACCCCTTTGATATGTGTCAAAAACAGCCAGTCAAACTACCGTCTATCGTCAGGCAGCTCGATAGTTCGTTACGAAAGCCGCTAATGACTTCTCACACCGCAACACACACAACGTTTATAGCGATCATAGACGAAGCTTCGTGGCGATAGACGCAGATAAGGGAGAGGCATTTTATGTCAACCATACGACATAGACCGCCTTACTCCAAAACGCTGACTATAGTTAGTCATGGTTTAAATCTCATGTTGTCTCTGTTTTCTTTTTAGCAAGCAAAAGTGCCGGCATCATTTTAGTCCAGGTTTAACTTTAGTCTACGTTTGTAAAACGGCGGAAAGAGAATGGACTGAGTATTTCCTAGCCAGCTGCCAAATAAATTCGCACGGGAACTATTGGTCGCTCGATCACTTCAGTCTCTTTCACTGTTCTCTGCCCGTTGGTCGCATGATATCGGTTTCTATCTTTCTAGTGAGTAAGACACCTCGTGCACTTGACGGCCATGACTACGACCAGTAGCCGACCAGTTTAAATTAAGTTGACCGTTGCGACCAAGTTCACGACGTGTGTATGGTTTCTTTCGTTGATTTGGCCGTTGCGGCCACTGGTCGAAGTTCTGGCCGTATAGTGCGAAAGATGTCTAATAAAATTCACACAGGTATAGCTCAGAATATTATTTATGTCTATGACGACAACTGAGCAGTCGCTATATCGCACCTTTATTCCAATACTGTCATTAAACAAAATTCTTCAAAAAATAGTTTCCAACGCCATCTATTTGCTACGTTATGAATCTACACATTACTTCAAATCCTGTATTTTAATTTTATTTTATGATAATGACAGTATTGGAATAAAGGTGCGATATGTTAAAGCAACTTATCGATACTAAAATTACAAAATCAATTGTGTTTATATTGATTTCGACAAAGCGTCGTGACTTCAGATAATCAATCCTGTTGCGCTTGCCTTAGGATTCGGGCTCTGTTTATGTTTCACGCCTTAGACTGGCTTTGACTGGCGACTGCTTGGTCTGTACCGATTATAGTACATTTTAGAACAGAGATAGATTAAACTTAGACACGGGTAACACTTGAAGTAAGAATTAAAAAAAAAGGAGTTACCCCTGAAAATAAAGTTGCATTCAACAATTCCCTTATTAATAAACGAAGAATGATGCCGAATTTGGTCGTTAGCACGTATTCAGGTGCAAGGAAGACATCACTCGAATTCGGGCACCCTACGCAATATTTACCCTAGAATACGGGCTGGTAGACGGTGTCGGGGAAACAAAAGGAAATCTAGGAAATCTACCCGAATACGGGCGTACTCGACTCCGTTTATTTACACTTAGTAGTTAGTAACATATACAATTATTCGAGGAGGTCGATGACGCAAGTGGTTAGCGCGTTCGGCTGCGATCGTTGAAGGGAAACAACTTTCATAGTGGTCTGTCATTGGATGAGTGACCAAAATTTACTATCTTGAGCTCCATCCTGCTTCGGAAGGAGCGTTAAGCCGTTGGTTCCAGCTGCGTTTGCAGTCGTTAGCACCCACCATTCCGCACCGGGCCCCCGTGGTGGGTCAGGGCCTCTTTCTATTCCATCCATAGGGAAGGCCTGTGCTCCAGCAGTGAGGACATTAAAAGGCTGATGATGACGATGGGTGATATACGATTTAGTAGAGTAAGTACAGTAGTACTTACTTCTCTACAGGCTTAGTATTTCCTATTATGTGGTAAACTACAAATCCACGAATCAACGGTGATGGGCGCTGCTGTCACCGCCTCTCTCGGCGGCGCAAGCGCACACATGAGGTGCTTTGACTATACTTCAGGATATCGGTTTTCGATGGATTATCATTAATAGTTATAAGTAAACTGCATAAATTGTCTCGTATATCAAATATTTGTAATGGTGGAACAGCTGTGTTAGTGAAATTGGCGCACAATAAGGACTCTGAGTGGGTGACCACGTGGACACGTAACGCTTCCAGTACGAGCTCATACTAACGATGTCAAGGTGAGCGGTTTATTTCATAGTGGGGAATCCTGTGTCTGAATTTTACCAATAGAAGCGATAGGATCAGCGACCAAACCAACTTGTTCTCTTGGGCTATCGAAGGTGTTCTCACGAACAGCTACTTACCTTGGGTTGTGAATTGGAGCGTACGGCGAGGTAGACGGAATACTCGAATATCCCTTCGGCGGCTACTTGTGGCGGTTCCCACGAGAGATGCGCTCCTTCTACCGACTTCGATATCTTGATGGCGGACGGTGCGCCGGGGAAACCGGGCAAGCACGTTTTAAACGCAGACTCCTAGTGATAAAATTGGGAAGTAAGAATGAATCTAAACATATAATAAAATGGTAGGAAAGTCAAAACTGTACATTGAATTTTTTTTTTAAAAGAATACTTGGGGTGTGATCTACATTCGATACCGAAGCCAAAAATCTAGTTTTTAGAATGTATGTACAGGATAAACTCAAAAAGTACTGCATGGATTTACTTAAAATTTGGCACTAATATTATTAAGAAGTCAGGTCAACATATACGCTACATAATCGCGCTATCACCTATGCGGAACAAGCAGTGAACCTTTATTTCTATCTAACTCTACGCGTCGAAGTCGCGGGCGGCCGCTAGTAAAGGATAAGTGTTACATCTAGTACAAAATCTAAAGAAAATTATTACTAGAAAAGATTCCATACGGACCAGGCCGCAGAAGGGACTTGAACCCACACCCTCCGCTATCCGGGCGGATGCACTGACCAATTATGCTACCGCAGCCCTAATGACGGTGTCGAAGTTTCTCTAGTATTTTTTCGGCTGCAAGGCGCGCCATTTCTTCTAATTAAAAACCTTTACAAGTAATAAACACTCGAAAGAATAAAAAAAAGTCTAATTGTAGTTTATTATATTTAATTTCTTAAAATAACTGCTATATATGAAAAATGTGCTATTTTCTCTAGTAAAAAATTTCTTTTGATTTAAACAGCTAGCAGTTAAATGTTTAAAAGATACAAATATATAATCTAATACAAAACTTTAATCTAGTAAAAACAGTATAAAAACGAAAATAATAATTAACATACTTCACTGAAATCTCCCCGACCGCAAGAATTTATGGCAGCAATCCTAAATTTGTATGCAGTGCCGTGTTCAAGTGCTGTGGTCGGCAGACTAGATAGATCAGGCAGATTGTCTAATGACAGATTTGATAAATCTACATTTGGATCCGATACGTAGTTTTGCACCTAAAACAAAAAAATACTTTTAACACTATATTTTAAATAATAAGAGGACAATAGGGATGATGACGGGTAAAGTAAACGAAATTCTATTTAGTCCGTCAGATTATCAAAACATAATGACTACTTATTATTTTCTTTCGTCAATCAACTAAAAAATTACAAAGTTAAAGCGCGTCACAGTTTGGGAGTGGGGACTCATGACGTCACTTCTAAATAAAAAAATTACCAAGACGTGACGTCATGCGACATTTCAAATTGATTTTTCTCTGTAATGATTTGATTTTGTGCAAAAAGAAGAAAATATGCGTCCAATACTTTTTTAAAAATTTATACCTGATGGACGAAGAAAAAAAGTTAGTTATCATCCAAATAATAACGGGATATTGTTTCTGTTTGTAATGGTTGTACTAATTACTAACCGTGAATGTGGTCCCCTTTACAATACCAACAGTATACCATGCGTCTTCATCATTTTGTTGTTGCTTCGGCTCTTCTGATTCGGCCTGTAATATAATCAAAACATTTAGATATTACTTCAGTTATATTGAGAATTGACAAATTGGGTAATGATGAGTAGGGAACTAAAAAGCAAGTTGTTCATATGAATAACTGACGTATACCGATAACATAAAAAATGCCATTCGTCGTTTGATAGCAGTATTATCAGTATTATCCGTGCTTACGGCACGAGTTACTTAACGTTAATAATAATTAAAAGGACATTTTTGTTTCTTAGGTTTTCACGCACATCACTCATTAAATAAAACTAGTTTTTACGGGTTAATGCACGAAACTTTATTTATTTATTGACGTTTCGCAGCCTTTTCAGGTCTGCATCGTCAGAATAAATAAAGTTTCGTGCATTAACCCGTAAAAACTAGTTTTATTTAAAAGGACATTGTTCAGCGTCCATACTTAGTTAGCCTAAGAACCAACAATCATGAAATATTATTTTCTAGGTTCAAAATCGTAAGTAAATGACTGTAAAAATAACGATGATTGACGGACACTTCTGAGAACTTAAATTATTAGGAAAACTAATTTTTTTTTGAGGTTATGTTTTGTCGGCGGATGGCATCTCACTCGCTCCTTCGAAACGTTAAACCGACAACAAATGTCATCAGTCAGTGTACCATTGCTTTGTGAAACGTCAAGTAATGACAGTGACAGCTGTCATCACTTGGGAGTGGTCTATGCTAAGGGTAGTATTTAAGGGGGTAACGCTTCATTGGAAGGGGCATTCGCATTCGGCATTCGGCATTCAGACGTGAGCCGCGATAGTGAACGGACGTTAGCAGAGAACTCTCCGCGCTTCACAAAGCAATCCATTTGTATCCTTGTAATCTTATCATATTTTGTAAAGTGATTTAAAGATTTAAATTAAACATTAGCTAAGTTATTAGACTACAGTTTCATTTTCGGAAAATAACATTGAATAACCAAGATGGCGGATCAAGATGAACCACGTGGCCAACCGCCTATAACCGCTCGCCCCCTTCGACATGTTTAATATTCAATGAAACCTATGAACCTATGAATTTAGTATGAACTCAGTATGAAGTGAATTGATATTACAACTAATTCATTTTATTCGGTGCGATTTTAAAGAATAACTATTAGGAAAAACTTAGGTTTTTAAAGTTAGGTAGGAATCATGAATAAAATAAAAACTGTAGTTTTGCTTCTTATTTATTGACTATTTTTCACATAATTGTATCATATTGTTTATTGTATTTATTTGTATATCACATGTATATTGTGTAAATATGCAGCGTGAATGTGTATTAGGTGTTCTTGAATAATTTGGAAGTATGATCCTCTCAGGATGTTGTGGCACAGGTTCACTAGCACTTGGTAATAAGGGCTCTGCTCTTTGGTAACATCGATGGCATATTAGATAGTTAAATTAAAGGTAAAACAATCGCAAATTGATTGAATTGAAATTGAAAAACTTTCCGGTATAATAAACTACTCTTTGGGTACGGCCACAGTGCACTCAGATTCAGACTCAGAAAACAAGCGCGAGAAATAAACAGTGTAGTTAAAGCAGGGTGGCCATAGTGGCAGCAGGCAACCTGCTTAAACTACACTGTTTATTTTTGATCTAATTTTGATTTAATCTGAGTGCACTCTGGCCGGTACCCTTTGGAATGCACGAATGCCACAGATTACTATGAAACTGCATGCACCACAACCACAGAGTAACAAGTTTTATGCTGGCCCTTCACTTGACAAAAGTTTGTCCTTGTCATGCTTAATAAGGAATGAAAAGGACAGACTGATGTCATGTTTTAAAATAGCAAATACGAATAGCCAAGTGAAATGCCGGCATTAGGAAGAAAGAGTGTTTTGTTTGCAGCGCTGCCATAGATTATACACCTAAAATGGTATTTATTGTCTCAGATTATTTTTTAACTTTTTAATTTAGCATAGCAACTGGAAGTGTCCGTCACAATCTAAATACTGATAATTATCGCAAAAAATATACTAAGAATTATCATAAATGCCAAATTGGTGTTGGTTCTTAGGCCAATTTTAACATTGTCCTTTGCACTTACATAATAATATAAGTGCAAATTTTTTATACATATCTAAAGAAATTTAGTCTTATAAACAAATAAACTTGTGAGACAAGTTTCAATAAATTTCAGTAATCAGAATACCCTGGCAGGAGTCAGACGGGTAGATTTTTTATTATTATTTACTAGAAAAGAAAGTTTCAAACAGTTGAACTGTTATCAGCGCCTCTGGTGCCAATAAACTCAAGAAGCTACTTACCTATGGTGCAGGGTGTGCTACATATAGAACGAACGAACGTCAATCCATTCTCTATACTATATAGAGAATGGATTGGATGGGACAGCAATTCCATGATCGGGATGTGGATCACAGTTTCAACACCCGCAACTTGATCGCAGTTTACATTTACGGGAACGACTTTGTAGTTGTGAATCGCAGTATACCTGCTCGTGGTGGTGGAGCACCGAGCTGGCGAGCATGGCGAGTGCGTGCGCGGCATCGGCGGCGCCCCGTTGGCCGCGCCCGAGCTGCTCACCGCGCCCTCGCCCTCACTGTGTGACACATACAGGCAGTACACTGGCACCTGCTAGTGGTGGTGGAGCGCCGCGCTGGCGAGCGTGGCGAGTGCGTGCGCGGCATCGCCGGCGCCCGAGCTGCTCACCGCGCCGTCGCCCTCACTGTGTGGACACTACAGGTAGTACACTGGCACCTGTTCGTGGTGGTTGAGCGCCGCGCTTGCGAGCGTGGCGAGTGCGTGCGCGGCATCGGCGGGCGGAAGCGGCGGCGCCCCGTTGGCCGCGCCCGAACTTCTCACCGCGCCCTCGCCCTCACTGTGTGGACACTACAGGCAGTACACTGGCACCTGTTCGTGGTGGTGGAGCGCCGCGCTTGCGAGCGTGGCGAGTGCGTGCGCGGCATCGGCGGGCGGTAGCGGCGGCGCCCCGTTAGCCGCACCCGAGCTGCTCACCGCACCCTCCCCCTCCGCCGTGCCCGCTCCCACCCCTGCGACCGCCTCCGGCCCCGCACCCGCATCTGCGCCCGTTTCCGCCGCCACGGACGAAGACACCGAACCTGCCCCGCCCTCCTCACCTACACCATACATAATCACAATATAGGCATGATGACAAGGTAAAGTAAACCAAATTTTATTTAGTACGTCAGATCAACATACTCGATCATGCTTCATCTTCATCATGTCAGCCGTACGACGCCCACTGCTGAGCATAGGCCTCCCCCAAGGATCTCCACACCGATCGGTCCTGCGCGACTCGCATCCATCGGCTTCCCGCGACACCTTCACAAGGTTCTCAAAGTTGGCTGTCCTAGGTAAACGTAACGGTCGACAACTTCGAGTATAGAGTTCCGAATTTCAACTGGAGCGGGTACTACATAGGCATTCGACATGATCTTGGTCTTATCCATGTTCATTTTAAGACCAACTCTTTGGGAAGCACTACTAAGGTCTTCGTACATCGTGTTAAGATCTTCCAGTCTCAGCCATAAGAATTACATCATTGGCGAAACGAAGGTGCGAAAGGTACTCGCCATTAATGTTGATGCCTCGTCTTTTCCAATCCAGAAGCTTGAAAATATCCTCCAATGCAGCTGTGAACAGTTTCGGAGATATCACATCTCCCTGTCTCACGCCTCGCTGCAGTTGGATAGGATTAGAGCTCTGGTTCTGTACTCGGACCGGCATAGTGGCGTTTTCGTAAAGGTTTCCTTGGCACCTTTGGAGAGACTAACACCGTCATGGTCTCAATCGAATCGAAGGCTTTCTCATAGTCCACGAAAGCAAAGTGAAATGACAGATTATACTCTTCGGTCTTCTGTATGACCTGCCGCAGCGTATTAATGTGGTTTTAGTACCAACTAAAGCCTATTCGGAAACCGGCTTGTTCGGGAGGTTGGAAGTCGTCAAACCTGCGTGCGAGACGTAATAACTCTCGAAAACAAAACTATAAACAACTTATAAACATGGCTAAGAAGCGAGATTTGTCGAGTTTATTCAAGAGTGCTTTGTCACCTTTCTTGAAGAACAGGACAAAGGATAACCTCACCTCTGGCCCATGCTTTTAGCGTTCTGCCTTTTAGGATGATGGAATTGAAAAGCAGAGGACTTTCGAGAATCGGCTTACTGTCCGCTCTCAGAAGTTCTGCTGTGATTCCATCATCGCCCGCCGCCTTGTTGTTTTTATGTTGTTTGAGAGCCATACTAATCTCATACAGGCTGGCATCCGGGATATTTTCGGTATAGTGCCGAGTAAGCTTGGCTCTGGTCTCTCTAGTCTAGCTTTCAGCAGCTGCTTTAGTGAAATTTAGCTGTCCATAGAAACTCTCAATCTTCCTCAGGATTTAAGCCTTAGACGAAATGATGCTATCGTATGTAAAGGGGAATATCGTATGTAAAAGAAAAAGAATGTAATTGATAATCTGTTTGTAAATGGAAAAATAAATGGAATGGAAATATTTTACTTTACTATTTAATGGTACGGAACCTCCTTACATACGAGCAAGTGTTATTTCAGCTAATACCCAGCTGATAAGGTACCGGAATAAAACTCTCGGTTACAGCAATGAACTATTGAAGTACAAAGGCCGTAGCGTGGGAATTCAAATCAAAGATGGCGGTTTTGATACATGCAATTTATATTAAATAATATAATCTCGCGAATTACATGGCGGCGGCTCGCAGCGAAACAATGGTTCTTATGATATACTACCGATGCTGGTATATAATAATATATCGACCCTAAAAAGTCATTAAAGTCCAGATGGGACACGTGGCGACGGGGAATGACCCGCGTGCGCTCGCGAAAAAAAAAGGGGAAAACTACGTGAGCTCACGATTTGACACACATCACTGGTGGTACCACGTTCCCTCGTAGAACGAAGCGACGATGGCGGTGATGCCTCAGGACGTCAACCCTTGACGTCACAGCATGCTGCACCCTGATGGCAGGGGTCTACGGGCTGACGCCGCAATCCTCAGCAGGAAGCATTCAGGCGGAAGGAGCTCATGGGCATTTGAGCACGCCGGTGGAGCCGAAGACACGAAGAGTCGGAGAGCGTGGGTGATCAAATATCACACCACGCACGCAGCGGCCGCGAGATTATATTGTACTACTATTTAAATACACATTACGGGCAGAAGGCCATAAAAACTACATACTAAGGGCATGGCGGTGTGCCATTTCATCCCCCTGGTTCTGTAATCGGCCGACCAAACATGGTGCCACTAGAAGCTTCTATTTGCGGACTGGTTTGGGTGACGAGCGACACAGCCTTCTCGTAGGAATCTCTGCGGGCGACTGTTTTAAGTAAGTCAGTAGTGCCATGGCGAAGGATCACGCAAACATCGATTTATCGATGGATAAGTCAAATCCGAAATCAAACTTTTACTAATGTACCGTTATAAATTTTAATTTATTTACCAAAAAAGAGTACTTTGTTTGTTAATGAAAAACATCCATAATTGATAATTTTATGTTTAATAATCAATGAGCAATCACGGTGCAATTGCTTATCGAGTGCCAATTGCATCGATAAAGGATTCTCATGCGCGTAGGCAAATACGTCACTTGGCGTTTGGTTTTGTTTTTTTTTTATTGAAAATGTGATTTTTATTGAAAACAAGCCGTGAAATAGAATGAGAATAATTTTCTGAATGCAATGATACCATTAAATCGTAATTTGGTTCGGTATTTATAAAGATATTACGATAAACAATTTTTACAATGAAATATTATTTATGATCGTGTTTTCAGACACAGCAATGATTCCAGGAATGAATTAGTAGACGAAACATAATCAAAGATGTATGTTCGATCGTAATTAATGGTTGTTAAATTGTGCTACCTATTATTTCATAAGTTATGTACCTATTGTTGACATATTATTTGCGTGATCGCCGGTCTGTGACGTCACGTCGTCAAAGAAAAGTCGTGTACCACGACAGTCTTCAGCTCCGTCAGTTGGCTTTGACCAATAGAACACTTTGGAGCCTTGTTGCGCTCTATAGCCTCTTTGATACCATGCGTTCTAAATCGGCGAAGTTCGCTCGTCAAGGACTGTGATATCTTACTATTTAGCCGTCGGTACTGACTTGCATCTTCTGAATTCTGTAGTCTCAATTCATTTCGCTGTTCCATGAGTAGGACAGTTTTTGTCAGAAAGTTTCTTTATTTTGGTACAGTGGGCTTTAAATACTTGGATCCTACCATACGGACAGTATCCACCACCGTGTTGATCGTCCACATCTACACTTTTTTCAAGGGATTCGAAGCAGTTTTGAAGTTCGAGTTGAAAGCTCTCGGGGTTCTGGAGTTGTGCAGGCACTGGTCGGAGCGTAGACTTTATCATTCGAGATCTTTCGAGCTTAATGTTGATTTCAATGTGCCTCGTACTAACCAATAATCACTTCCCGTTTTGACGGCGTTGATCACAGAAACATTGAATATTAGGTGTTTCGTCGACATGATAAAGTCGATTTCGTTTCGGACTTTGCCGTCCGGGCTCATCCAGGCCCATTTTCGATTTTGGAGTTTCCTGAAGAAGGAGTTTATCATATAGAGGTTTCCCTTTTCCATAAAATCTACCAACATCTGTTCTTTGTCGTCCCGTAGCCCAACTCCAAATTGCCCTACTCTCAACACATCACCACAACGCTTTCCAAGCCTTGCGTTCAAGTCCTCCACCACAACCGTGTAGTATGTTTTGTAGCTATGCATAGCTTTTGTGATCTTGCCATAATCGCCACGCTTGGCAGGCGGGTTGGCGATCGCAGTACAGCCAAAATATTGCAACAAGAGGCTGCTACATGAATTCTGCTGGCTGTGCTCCCTTAGTCGCCTTTTACGACACCCATGGGACGTGAGGGGTGGTGCTGTTCTAGGCCGTCACATATACGGCAAATCGGTAAATCGGCTCCATCTTAGCCAAATCTTATTTACTAAATCAACTTAATACTAGTTGCAAAAGGATATAGCCCAATCATGATATTAAAAAGACTACTTTAAGTGACTTCTTGAATTATGGTTTTATTTCGAAAATATAATAGTTCGCAAAACACTATTTACCTTGCATTAAAGTTGGCGAGAGTAACGCCGAACCATTGGCTGACATGGCGAGTAGCGGCATAGATTCGCTTACTGTGGGCATTGTATCGGCGGCGCCTTCCAGTTCTGAAGTGTCCGCATCTCCGAACCTGGGCGACAAGAAATTCAAATATCTATTGATATTTAATAATTTCCACTGATCAAAACTCGGTAGGTAGTAAAAATACCAACTCATTTGCTTGTTGTTGTTGCGGAGCGATAGAAAATGAATGTAACACTGCCGGCCCATTGGCAGTGGATGATATCAATGTGGGTTCACTTTGGCCGCTGCTTGAAATATCCGCTGCACCTTCGGCTGTGCTTGAACTGCAAAAAACATCCCAATTAAAAAAAAGAAAAATAACAACATAATCTCAAACACAAAACCTCCCCATACCTAATACCGGTGCTGAGAACCTCTTGAGCTGCACTGCTTATGTCGTTAACATCGTCGCTGCTAGCGACGCCTTCCCCGCCTCCCATATCTTCGTCCATCGTGCTTGACTCATCTGCATTAGGAGGAAGGTTGAATGAATCGATGGAATCATTCGTTTTAAGTATTGATATTAACAGGGAGTCGAGTTTTAAATCTCTATTGGAGATTTGTATTTCTGTAATTGTTCTTTTTCTAGCAATATCTGTTGATTGTCATCTCTAAACTGATAAAAAATATATAATATAAATATGTCAGTAGTCTTACAAAATATGCACTTTATGATTCATTATGCATCATGTTTTATCTATATCTATGTTATACAAATTCAAACTTACTACTAGCACAGATTACTAAATAGTTACTAACAGATAAGTAACAGATAATCACTCCCGCAGCCAAGAATAATTAACGCGCGCAAGTACATGGAGTGCCGGAGGCCTGCTACTGATGCAGACAACAAAAGCCCCAAGTACTAATCAAAACTATAAACAGTTGATTTGTACAGTACAAAATCTAAAATATTTGGATTACCGTCTTGAACCACTGGGGCGCCGTCTCCTTCACTCAAGCCACTGTCAATAGGCATAGCGGAACTTATTGATTGGTCGGGGCTCTCTTCTGCAGTAGCATCTGCACCTTCGCCATCTTCCAAACTCTGCTCTTTAGATATAGGATCTAGCTGGCTTTCCGTTTCCTAGCAAAAATATATTGAAAGATTTTTTTATTTCATTTTATTCAATAAAAAGCTGTGTGAAAATGGCAAATAAAACATTTTATTTTATTACTAAAATGCGGCCTATGCGACAGGTCGTGTCAGTTGTTTATGGCGACAGAAGAATTCGATCTAGTACAACAAAAACAGGTCCGAAAATAAACTCTAATTCTTTTGTCATACGGGAACTGACCGTACTGTATAATCCTATACCCCACTTCAGGGCACAAACACGAGATGAACACAATTAATGAATTACGTGCGATTCAACTAAGAATAGGACCGACTGGGCGCCATATTGTGACGTCATAGCTGTCATTTCAAACCCATTAGGTAGAGTGAGCAAAAAAGTTTTTCTTAAATAAAACTTATTTAGGTACCAAGATTAAAGTGAGTAAAATATTAGATTTTTAATAATATATATTTATTAAAACTGAGTGATAAAACAATTATTCAGAATCTAGTTCTTTAATTCCGCTCATCTCTGCACTACCGTCGGAGTAGTCATCATCATCACTACTGCTTTTGGCTATAAAATAAAATATCGATTAAGTATTGTAGGTTTTAAAACGACAACTTTATTTTAAATAAAAATAGTCTTTTGATTTCCTGTATTTATAATTAAACTAAAGTTCTTGTATTTCCCTTTTCCTGTACTCATTTTCTATACGATGAATGATTTATTTATTTCTCTTGTTTACAAATGCTTGGAATTTATTCTAATATTAGGTCAGTGCTAAAAAAGTGTACCAAGTTTTTTTGCAAACCGTACTTTTCAAGCAATATTTGACAGATGGAGGTTATTGGCTTTCCTATTCTGATTTGGATTAGTGCTGCCCAAATTCAAGAACAATACTAGACTTAGCCAGATTTGATAAGAAATTCGAAAAATCAACTGCCACATGGTTATCAACTGAGCTATAAGTCGTTTTCCATGGAAGTAACTGTTTTTTAATAAACATTTACGCTTTATAAGCTTACATGTGCTAAAACATGTAAAAAACAAATTAATTACAATAACTTGACTGTATTTTAAAGAACAATATCTGTCTAGAAAGAGATTGAACCCTCAACTTAAATAAAATTTAATAAAAGAGTTTTACGATTTATCATTTATTTCAATAAAAAATAAAATACAACACAAATCAAATAACATAACAGTACACAACAGCTTTATCATTAGGTTCTGTTACTTTATATCAATTCTTTTGACCAAGAATTAATACAAAAAGTTTAAAAGTTTAAAGTTTATTAGAAACTTATGTATTTTTTCGAGTATTTGCCATTCACTAGCTGTGATTTGAAAATCATTCAATTCGGTGACAGAACTGCACAATATGTTAATGCCCGCTCTCACTTTTAAACCAAATCCAATCATATCATGTGTGGAATTTCATCTTGTTGGACAGTCAAGAATGGGATTCAGATTTGATGGCGCGCTAGCTGCAGTACTGAAACTTCTTCTTCACTATCTCACTTCTTTTTACTTTACTGGAAATACTGCGTAATTTTGTTACAGCTGTACTCGAGTCAGCAATATTTGGTGCATATTTTTCATCTTCCTCAATTTCGTCTGCATAGTCTTCATACTGCTTTTCTTGCGCGTTAGTGTTAGTCTCACAGTGTAATGCTAAGGTCTTTAATAAATTTTGTACACCAAGGTTTAAAATGTGAGCAAAACACCGGAAATGTTGATTGTCTGAATCAAAGTGTGGCGGCAGCTGTTTGCCCAGTTCATACATAAATTTGGTATTTGCAGTTGCGTTGTCGACCGTGATACCTTATATTTTATCAATTATGTCATATTCCAATAAACATTCGTGGAAAATCGTTGCAATATCTTCCCCAGTATGTCGAACGCGTGATGGGATAAAATCAAGAACTACAGATCGATACTTCCATTTGTTATAATGCATAGTAACCCCGTAGTAACTCCTACCAGCAATTGACGTCTACCCATCAATGGTAAACGACAGTTTAGATGATAATTGTTGAAGTCGTTCCTTGAGATTCAATTGGAGCTCTTCAAATCGCTCTTTGACTTTTCTTCTAATTGTGAATCTTTTAGGAAACACCATATTAGGGCAAATACGTCGAAAATTTTCTTCTAATTGTGAACCTTTTAGGAAACACCATATTAGGGCAAATACGTCGAAAATATACTTGTGTAGCTTCGTCATCGAAAAATGTCAAGGGAAGATATTTTTTCACCACCCAATCAACTGTAGCTATCGTGATGTTGTCACTACTGTTTTCCGACTGAAATAAAACAATAAATCTTGTGTTATTATTTAAAACATACTAGGTTTGAGCGTTTAGGAGGAGGAGGTTTGTTGTTGTTAAATCGAGAAAATCGTAAAATTGAGGTTTGTTATATTAAGGTTGCACTGTACTGTAATTTACCAAAATAAAGTAGTTAGTTGTTACTGGCCGATTATGAAAACAAATGAAAATATGGGTGTTTTATAAAAAATATTTAACACGATAATCACATACTTAATATGTGTTATGTAATTGTGATATAAGTAAATTTATTTTTACCTGTCCACTTCTTCCAGCGGTTACTAAAAAGCTTCCTCCACTTAATTTTGGTTTAACAGGAAGAAATATTTGTGATTCCTTTTTGTGGAAAGATATTAGATGTTTCATTAAGCCTGAAGTGTTTCTGTTTTTCATTTTTATTTCAACCTTTTTATGTTGGCACAATTTAAACAAGGCAGTTTGGGATGCATGATTTTTTTCGAAAAACTCCTCAAATTTGCTTTTAGATCTATAACTCAAACTCTCATTACTCGGACTAGAACAATTTGAATCTTCGTCACTCATATTAAACTGTACACGTGATACGTTTTCCGAAAACAACAAGAATTAGTAAAAACAATTATTACGTTAGACTCGAAGCATAGCTCAATTGGAAATGACTGGAATTAAAATGATTCCTTTTTTATAGTACATTTCCTTGCTTTCTACCGCGCCGCCTCGGCACGTGCCGGCTCTACCGCAAATCAAAAGTTGCCGCGTGGCGTGGGGCGTATAAACACAGATTAATACCTACTTGTACACACGCGTGACATTGTGCCAATCACTATTCTTTACATATAAGTGAATGTTTTGTCGTACATCTATACTAATCTATACTAATATTATAAAGCTGAAAACTTTTTTGCTATTTTTTCTTGTAAAAACTTAAGAAATTTAAGAAATATTTTGACTAAATGTACAATAATAGTACCTAATTAGTTTCAACTCATATAATCAATATTATAATATATACTTACTAGAATAAATTATTATGATATCTACTACCTATCCTTCCCATTATCTAATCATAATACTACTTGCGTGATCAGTATAATGTATTCGTTTCCATTCTAAGCACTCTAAAACTTATTTATTCATTGGAACACCTGTACTCAAAAATTCGAAAATCGAAGTTCGTGTCGTACCGTCTCGCTTGCTCATATATTAAATAGTATTAGCGTGAGTGGGACGGCACGACACGAAATTAGAATTTTGCATGAGTATACCTAGGCCCTGTGGCGGCAATCAAATATTATCAAATGCAATGATCAGTTAATGGACGAAACTTTATTTATTTATTGACGTTTCGTAGCCTTTACAGGCTACGTCGTCAGAATCAAACTTTTATTTAATTTGTCGAGCTACCTTCGAAAGACTTTTATTGAGCGTTCGGTTATTTCATTGTTCGATTTTTAAAGTTTTATTGTCTATATATAAATTTATTATTTAATTTACTCAATAAAGTATATTATTTAAAATTCTTTTTTGTAATTTTGAGTTTATTTATTTGACCCTACCGTAAACTACCACCGGTTCCAAAATTAGGAGACCTTTCTGAGAAGAGCCGGCGAAACAAACTCAAGAGAGGCTTTCTATCTTCTTCTTATGTTAAATTATGCAAACAAAAAGAACTAATAGTATCTGTTGGTCTTGCAGTGTGTGCTCGGGATTGGGATTTTATCTCGTTCAAAATGGGTTCCCAAGCTGGTGGTATATACCAACCATCTTCTCTATTGAAATTTGGAAATTTTTTAGTCTCAATAGCCACGCGCATCATTCGAGGAACGAATCGCTGCTCAGTTGCAAGGATCTGTGGTTTATCAAATCTAATGTAATGGTTTGGTCCCCCTAATGAACATGTTTGGAACTGGTGGTAGTTTACGGTAGTTAGGGTCAAATAAATAAACTCAAAATTACAAAAAAGCATTTTAAATAAAATACTTTATTAAGTAAATTAAATAATAAACTCATACATAGACAAAAATCTTTAAAAATCGAACAATGAAATAACCGAACGCTCAATAAAAGTCTTTCGAAGGTAGCTCGACAAATTAAATAAAAGTTTGATTCTGACGACGTAGCCTGTAAAGGCTACGAAAAGTCAATAAATAAATAAAGTTTCGTGCATTAACCCGTAAAAACTAGTTTTATTTAATGAGTGATGTGCGTGAAAACCTAAGAAACAAATATTGTCAAATGTTGTGATTTCGGCGCGGCGGCAACGATTGTTGTATGTGATTTCAATAGAAGCCGCCGGCGCGTGTATCATCACCATGTACTTCCGAAAAGTGGCAAATTTCTTTGAGAAGTCAGTACAAAACCTTTGATGCCGCATTATCAAAGTGCCGATGGTTAAAACCTTTGTTTTTCCTCCGTGGTTAAAACAAAACTATGCGTGCACTCTGTTTGATTTTAATGGATCTTTTTTTATTCGCTATGTATGTATATGGTATTGGTCGTAATGGGCATAGGTCCAGTTTTTCATATTCTTTGATACAGTTTTTTGCGTCTCATAGAATTCCTAAACGTACCTATACACCGAACTGTTATATCTAACTACTCCGTGAAATAGCGCTAAGTCCTAGCTGCAAGACGCAAGAGAAAATGGGGAAGTTTTCTACGTCGACCAATCTAGATAGGTAGTTTCTCCTTTTTAATTCACTATGGAGCATGATGGCATTTGACAGTTAGGTGTGGTTAAATTAAGAATAGCCATGTGAACTGCCAGCATAGCTCCTTATGTGGTGAAGTTTGAGTAGTATTATTTTAGTACAAAGTATATTAGTCAGAAAATTATCTTTAAATCGTTATATTGTAAAGACGAGACCAGGCCCCTTCTAGCGCCACTTATTAGTTTAGAAATCTTTCGTTCAACGAAAAATAAATACACGTGACATCTCATTTAGTTCATTGTTATATTTTCCTACCCTGAAAAAACCTTTAGGGCGCTTGTTAACGAGATGATTTCTACCCGGGCCAGTCTGACTCAGCTTGTCCTAGGGATGAACGATACCATCTAGGTATCGATACTTTTACTCGATACTGTATCGATCATAAAGTATCGATGCCTACTCGGTATCGAATGAAAAGTATCAAGACTTACTTGTATCGAAAGAAAAGTATCGATACTTACTTGTATCGATAAATTTTGACGAACGTTATTACAATTACAAAATTCGGTCACAGTTTAATTTAAAGAAAACAAAATAACGGCTCACGCCACGCGATGATCGAATGACTAACTGAATAAATTTTCATAAATATAAATAATACGCAAGGCTGCCAACTGAGCAGAACACAAATTCCGACTGCCTATCGAGTTTTTTTGATACTTCTCAGTGAGTGACCGACCGAGTACCGATACAGGTACTTACTTCACGGTACTACTTGTTACTCAGTTCTTAAGTATCGATGCCAAAAGTACTTGGTATCGAAAGAAAAGTATCGAGTCACTTGTATTATTTCATCCCTAGCTTGTTCACGGGTACGATTTGGACGTTTGTAAACCATAGCTAGGGTGCAGCGGTGTCGTTAACAAACCTCCATAGTGTGTCATACATTCATAACTGACAACCTGACGTAGACACGTTTTAAAACCGTGCCTAGACCTGGGAAGACATCGTCTCCTTAACAAGCGCTCTTAAAATCCTACAGATAATTACCATTCCAATTCACAGAATATTTGTGGAACATATTCTCAACAATTAATCAGTAAAGTAAGTATAAATAAAGGCTTTCCATTTTATTTATTATGATTTACACTCCACAATGATTTTACTGTACACAATAACTAGTTTAAGATCAGAATGATATATAAGACAACTCTTACCGGAGTAGACAGACAGTTGTCTCCGATGTAAACCGATTCATCTGCAACAGCACCAGCTGCAGTATCATCTATATCCATTTCTTCCTCGGCATTAGCTGTTGTGAATTCGACATTTATATTTTTTGCCACTATAGTATTAAATTATCTAGCATGTTGAACATATGACATATTCATTGGACATGTAAATATTGCTAAATGTTGTAAATAAACGAGATGCGCATCATTCCAACACCATAGGTACACATGACACACAGCACTGTGCGAGATAGCGCAATGACCTCTCACTCGCACAGTGCTCCTCTATAGGTGTACTTTCGCGTTAACATAAACGGCATTTACACTATTCAAATTAGTAGTAGTGACACCAGCAGCAGTAGTAGTGACAAGACAAAAAGCAACAATAGTCTATAAACAAAGAATAATGTTAAAAGGTGTCGTACAAAAGTATAAAGGATTTAATAAATACATAATAATATCAAAAGAGTTTAGTAGGTAGGAGCCAGTCGCCAACAGGTACTTTATAACATACTGCACATTGACAATTACTTTTGAAATTTTGTAAGAAACTATTAATGATATAAGTGCAAATAATTGTGTATGTATACTTTAAAGGACCGATCTGTCTGTAAACGTAAAGATCTTCGGGATCGGTTTGAAATTAAACTATAATTTTCAACAAATTCTGATTAAAAAATGTGACGGACAAGCCGAGGTGGACGGTCGGGACAAGTATCAATTAAACAAAAATGCATGTATTCTTTATACCTCTATTTTTGAACGGTTTACTTTAAGTTTTTACGTAAAATATTCGAAATCTATTATAATGAGGATTGCCACCAAAATATGGCAACATACATGTACTCGACGGCGTCCTGTGTTGCTCTTTGTAAACCGCCGAGCAATTGTCCACACAAACCTCATTACGATATAATAGTTTAAGGTTTATTGCGGTACTTTTTTCTCTTGCTTTGTTATGTCTTGTGTTTTTTGCCGGAGTGTATATATGATATAATTTTTTTATAAAACCTACCTTCATCTATACCAGATTGCTCTTCAGTATCAGCTACCTGCTCTCTCTGTTCTCCATCTAGAGCGTCACTACTGCTGGTAGGTGCTCCACCATTTGATACTGAGGGCAATAAATAACAGATTTTAGTAAATCACTGTTTATGCTAAGATTAAGATTTTAATGATAGGAATTTGAAAAGCTACACACTAGTATAAGCAGCATGATATTAACACAAAATTATTTTTATTAACTAAACAGTTTACAGTTTACAATGCTAGTTTAATGGGAACAATAAATTAATTTATCATGTTATGCTAAGAAAATGTGTTTTTAAATCAAATGCATATTTAATTATTTACAATATAAGGTAGTTGATTAGCATTACAACAGTAGTTTTAAGAATATATATATATATATATATATAAAAGAAACTACACAAGTTGGTTACACTATTTATAACTCGAGAACATTGACTGAAAATTGGTGAGGAGGTAGCTTAGAACCAGGAGATGGACATAGGATACTTTTTAAAACAATTCCTTGGAACGTGACATAAAACGTGGCATAGCCGACCTAGCTGACCCGGCGAACTTTGTTCAAGCTATAAAGAAATGAGGAGCTCGATGGCGCAGGTGGTTAGCGCGTTCGGCTGCGATCGTTGAAGTTAAGCAACTTTCGCAGTGGTCGGTCATTGGATGGGTGGCCAAAAATCTTCTATCTCGAGTTCCTCCGTGCTTCGGAAGGCACGTTAAGCCGTTGGACCCGGCTGCATCTGCAGTCGTTAGCACCCGCCAATCCGCACTGGGCCCGCGTGGTGGGTCATGGCCCAATCTCCCTATTCCATCCATAGGGAAGGCCTGTGCCCCAGCAGTGGGGACATTAATAGGCTGATGATGATGATAAAGCAATAAATGAGCAGGGGGTCAATGGCCTAACGGGATTGTTATGGCTATCGCTTTCGCTTACGTTTTCATTTTGTTATTTCTGACCGCCGAAGATTTTCAAATTTCCCGCGCTCTGTTTTTCTTCTGTATTGGTAATAACGATATAAAAGAAAATGAGCGTAAGCTATTTGAAAACCTATAAGGTATAGCGATAGCCATAACAATTCTGTTAGGCGATTGACTCCCAGATTTGGCTTAAAATTGGTGGGGAGGTAGCTTAGAACCAGGAGACGGACATAGGATACATTTTATCCCGTTTCCGTGAAACGTGACATAAAATGTGCTGAAACGCCTCAGCCGACAACATTGACCGCGCTGTTCAGCAATGCGAGTTATACATGAATGAAGGCAATTAATGATGGAATGGTGGTTTATACCAGGCCCCTCGGAAAGTTTTGCGAAAATAAGTTTTTATGCATAAGACACTGGCCACTTATAATTATTTTGGTAACTTCGATTATTTAAATTAATAGTAAAAATACCACTGTTCGATTTTCAAATTTCCCTCCGCATATTTTCGAGAGCCAATTAAGGCTTTTCGCACATGGGTCGTAGGCGTAGTTGCATCGTAATTACACTACGCGCACGAGATGCGGAGTGTTCTACAAACGAATCGTCGCGTAGACGTATCGTTTTGTACAATCTCAGCTGAAATCATGGCGTCAAGTGTACCAGATGTGTTTGGGGAATTTATTGATGACTTTACCGTCTCTTCAGACGATGAGTATTTCTTGTTATTTGTTCGTTAGAAGTAGAAAGCGACGTGCTCATTGGATCCAAACCATACATCGCAAATAATTACAAGAAAAGATTGTTTGTTGCTGCACGTGAACTGTCAGAAAATGATAATAAATTCTGCAGTTTTTATCGAATGAGGAAGGATACATTTACAATACTTCGAAATATTTTGGGACCACATCTATGGAAAAATGATACTAACATGAGAGAGGCTGTACCCCCAGAGGAACGAATCATGATAACTGTACAGTATATAAAAATATAATATTTTTTATCTTTTATTTATTGAAAAAAATATAAATGGCAAAATAAGCACCAATATGCACCACTTTTATTCACTGTTTCGAAATGACCGATAATGCTTCAATTTTTGTAACTAAGCATATGCACGTACGTAACTTTAACTTTAGAAGTAATTTATTCTGTATTTTCATTTCAATTGTACTGAGTCAATTCGTTCACGTTCAGATCATTGCTTAGTAAACTATCATCTCTGCTAGTTCTGTAATCAAGAGGTGATCTCACTAATTGCTCACCCTCCTGATTAGAAGTCATAGTTAAAGATACCGCAGAATATGGTTCTTGCTGCTGAATAGGGCTCATGACTGAAGATATTGGAGAGTACTGTAGTTGTAATGGCTGCTCCTGATAAGGAATTATATCTCAAGAAACACGAATGTATGTTTGTTGACGAGGTTGCTGGTAAATATCTGAATTGATTTCGGCCGTTGAAGACGATTGCTGGTTTTGCTGAGCCATTTGATATTTTTGGATGAGCGTCATCATTTCAATTTTAAGCAATCTTATAATAACCTAACATCAACTTTAACCGTCTGTTATGAACAATCATGCCCACTAGTACAGCAACGCACAACAGCCAAAGGCAAACACAATTGGTGGGGTCCTGAACTGGAAAAGTTGCGGCGTAGGGTAAGAAAGATGTTCAACAGAGCAAAAAACACCAGATTAGAACACGACTGGATCCGCTACAAGGAGGCACAGTCACGCTACAAAAAGTGCATCCGATTCAGAAAGGCTGAATGCTGGAAGCGTTTCTGTAGCGATATCCAAGACAACAATTATGCCGCAAGAGTGAGGAAAATACTAAGTAGCGATCCCGAACGCAATTTAGGTTACCTCAAAAAGGCTGATAATACTTTCACTAAAACCGACGCTGAAACCTGTTAACTGCTGATGCATACTCACTTCCCAGGCTGCAATACTAAAGACGACCAAGAATGGGAAGATGTAATATCCGCGGTTCCGGATTTAGCTGACTGGACAACTGCACGCAAAATCATTAAAATCAACACATTAACTTGGGCCATCAAAAGCTTCCTCCCTTTTAAAGCAGCTGGACTGGATGGCATCTTTCCGGGCCTACTGCAATGGTGCGAAGAATCGATACTCGAGTATCTACTGCGAATCTACACAGGATGTCTTGCCTATCGGTACATACCCACCAAGTGCATAGAGGTTAAAAGTTATATTCATACCCAAACCAGGCAGGCTACACGCAACTTAGAGCATTCAGACCGAGAAGTCTCACATCATTCCTCCTAAAGGTGCTGGAGAGAATGTGTGACAGGAACTTGAGAGATGATGCTCTAAAGCGTGTACCACTTCATGCAAATCAACACGCCTACAGCATGGGCAAATCCACCGAATCCACATTACACAACGTAGTCATTTACACTGATGGATCCAAAATACCAGGATTCGGATCAGGCGCAGAAGTCTTCTCACTGGACCTTAACATCCATATACCTAGTCAGGTCATAAATTCTGTCACATGTTTAATATAAAATAATTGAAACAAGTTTATTCATTATGTAACCATTTATATACCAAAATGAACTTAACAAAACATAGATTCTTATGACAATAAAGTTTATTCAAAATGACCTCCGTGATTTTGAATACAGTCCTTCAATCTGCGCGGCCAGTCGTCCATCGCAGCACGAACGAGGTCCATGTCAATATCGGCGGTTGCCTTAATCAAGGATGTCTTGAGTGACTCCAAATTGGGATGAGGCTTTGAGCACGCCTTTTCCTCCAGGTGTTGCCATATCTTGTAATCTACGGGACTCAAATCTGGACTGGAGGAGGGCCAGTCTTCGTGCCGGATGAAGTCGATTTCACGCGCCGCCAGCCAGTCTTGTGTGTTCTTCGCTCTATGAGCTGGCGCCGAATCTTGTTGGAATACCCAGTGCCTGTTATTGAACATGGTATGAGAAACAGGTTCCACAAGGTTCGTCAGTACTGTAATTTGATACAGAACTGCATTCGTTTTTACACCTTTCTCACAAAAATGTACCTCTGTTAAGCCTCAATAAGAAACTCCCCACCATACCATGAGCGAGAATGGAAAATGACCTCGTGGGACACGCGGAATACGGTTGCTCGCTTCTTCACTACTGAGTGCGTACACCTTATCATTTTGTTAGTTGTAGCTCTCTTCTACAGTAAAAAATTTTTCATCCGAAAAAAGAAAGAATTTCCCGATATTTTTTTCCCGCGTACCGCTTCAACAAAGCGCGGCATCACTTCAGACTCAGGTCCATTAGACTAGCATTAGCTAACGATGTCTTGTTTTTTTTCGATATGGCCGAGCCGAAGCCCGAAGTCTTCATTTAACACCCTTTTCACCGTGGTTCTGCTTAACCCCATCTGAAGGGCCAACAGTTTCTGCTTACGTTTGGGATTTCTTTGAATTCGCGCCTTCACAGCTTTTATCACTGTTGGAATCCTAACAGACCGAGGGCGACCACTTCTTGACCTGTCATCTACACTAGAGTCTTCATTGTATCGTTTGTTGGTACAATAAACGAATCTTTTGGTTATATTCAAATTTTTCAGTATGTCAAAAATTTTAATTGGCGCGTAACCGCAACGATGCAACGCAATAACTGCAACACGGTCTTCTTTAAGCGTCCACTCCATATTTAAAAATGAGTAAAATTCTAAAAAATTCTAAAATTGGTCATGAAAATTTTTATTTTCATGACCAATTCGAAATTCGTATTCAATAAACTTTTTTGTGGCCAGCATTCTAAAAGAAAAGTTTTTACTGTGTGACAATACCTATGACCTGACTGTGTATATTGATACATAGCTTTATAACGGAAAAAGTTCAGAATCCGGTGGAATTCTCAAAAAACTAACGGGAACGAAGTAGCGGGCGCAAGTTAGTCTTTATAAATAAATAGCCTGCAGACTAGCCTAATTATTGTGCTTAATGAGCAATGTATAGATTGTTGTTTTTTATGTGTTAAAGGACTATACGCCCTGAAAGAATCTCATAAAACTTATTTATAGCACAGTGTGACCTAAACCCGCACTTTACGCACGCTTTTCCGTGACCTAAGTTGCCTATTTCTGCACGGTGTGTAAATGAATTGACCAACTTCACTCACGTAGAAAAAATTAAAAGGAAAC